ACGGCCGCACCGGGATCATATATACACTAATCTAGAGCATATGTACACATAAGATACATGAACATTATTCAGGTAATCCTGCTGCTGCTGTATTGTCACTGTTGTCTAGCATTACCATATCTCCATGGTTACTATTTTCATTATTGACTCTTTTCATATGTTATGAGTATTCTTGCTGTATTGTGAATATGTGATTATAGCATTCAAAAAATATGGCTATATTCAGGTTATCGGATGGTTTTTGTTATAGTCTGATTACAAGTATTAATGGCAGTATTATTGTTGCTGCTAGCACTATGTTTGTATGTGTGTGTGGTTGTACATGTATGAGTATGACTATCTATCTATCTATGTATCCATCCATCTATCTATCTAACTGTGCGTGCATGTACGTATGTATGTAGGTATGTATGTATGTATGAGTGTCATACAACAATGCAGCACATTTACGTTGTATACACATAATTAGGCATGCACATCCTCTGAAAACGATTTCACACACAAGCTTCACCCTCGGCTTACCCGAACCCTGCCTGGCCGGAGCCGAAACCACCGGGAGCCGTCTGTTCTCGGGACTCCTGAGCTGCTATGAACCTACAGAAGGTGACAAAAGACACACTGAACTCTTGTAGAGAAGTGCGAACATGGCTGTGGTTCATGATGCTGTACTATACTATGCTGTATACTATAAACTATTTGCTACATACTATTTACTATATACTGTACACCAAATACTGTATACTATATGTACTATATACTATATACTATGTACTATGCATATACTGAAGGCTATAACATACTATATAAATACTATGTGCTATACGATATGATGCTAGGTACCGAAGGCCCGCCTCGGCCTCAGCTTCTGGCGCTGTCTGCGGCTCTGCCCCAAGGGCTACAAGCTTGGGCCGAAGGGCAACATCCAACTTCCACGCTGTAGGGCTCTTCAGGGAGCTTAGGGTTTAGGGGCCTTAATAATTAGAATAGGGTTTTGGTGTTTTTTTTATAATTATGACTTCCACGCTGAGCCCAGTCTGTGGAACAAGCTCTAGTCACGCTAGTCTCGCCACCGGTCCAGGTAAACTATATGTATTTACTATATACTGTACACCATCTACTGTATACTATATGCACTATATACTATATGCTACAGCATAAGAAGAACATCCTTGTAAAGAACTGCACGGGGGCTCATGAGAGCACCGTCCGCACTTGGCTCGACACTCGGATGCAAAGAAGAAATGTGTTTGTCGGGTTAAGTCCGAAACCATAGCAACTTAAGGGACATGCTGACATAGAAGAGAGACGCTGAAAAGTAGAGCTGGGCTGAACGAATCAAGCATGGAGCAGTTCACGATCTCTCTGTGTAGCTTTCGTCTCCAGAAAAACGGCTACCAAAGTGTGCGACAGGCTGCTGAAGAATACGGTCGCTGGTCGTGATTTGTATCGGGTCATCCTATCAGCCCTAAACCCTAAACCCTGAACCCTGAACCCTAAACCCCATAAACGATTTACCCTCAACCCAAGCATTGGCCCGGGCGATGTGGCATCTCTCCATCAGCTCCCCATGCCGTCGGCACCTGCAAAACGTCAGGGGTCTCAGCAGAACTCCAAAAATGAATGATGCCAAGCCTCGTCGCGAGATGTGCAAGGAATCATGCTTTCGTTTGCTGTCGTGATAGAACATGAACATTCTAGAACTGATCCTAGCTGTCTGCCTCGGCACGCATGGGCGGTTGGGTCATAGCCTCAGGTCTGACTGCATCTGCTTCAAGGGCGAAACAGACGGCGTTCAGAATCCCTGCCCTCAACAAGCTAGCAGCTAGAGCCGCTAGGGCTACGGCGTGATAGGAGGTCCCATTCTCGTTCGCCATTGGGGCCTCAGCGACCGATAAGTCGGCAGAAGATGACACACAGACAGTGACAAAGGCTGTGTTACAGGGAACTCAACCTCGCTTCACTCAAGTCTTCTGCCTGTTGCGCTGTTACACCTACGCCGGCCTGTCGCTGTAAGGCAAGGACAACTTCGAGTTCCTTCTTCCAGTTCATGTCCAGTCGCCCAGCCTCGCGGCATTCATCCGCAAATGGATCAAGCCGAATTCCAAGCCGGAGACCGTGAATCCGTTGTTTGCTGTCAGATCACAGCCAGAGGTGTTCAATTAAACTCTGGACTGCATGTCGTATACAGTGTATACTTATATACTTCGACCGCATTACAAGAAACTTCGTGGCAAACCAGGTGCTTCCACGCTCAGGTATCCGAGCCAGCGACGGAAGGACCGCTCGCACCGGAACCTGCTCAGATGATTCAAAGTCTTCAAACACGGAGGCCACCAATTCGGGATGAAAAAGGACTGCAGCTCATGGAAGGCTCCTGCAATCGCGCCTTCGCGCCCTTCTCGGCTGGCCGTCGCCGAGCTCGGCCTTGGAGGCGGCGGCGGAGGTGCCGGTGGCGCCTCGGAGCATCGCAGACCGCACTCAACGAGGCAGGCGAAGGGCCCAAGGAATCTGAAAAGCAAAGCTTTCTCCGGTGCGCAGCTTGCCCACGAAGCTAAGCTGTGCTGCGATAGCATGCCAACTGGCAATGCAGTCGAGCCACGATGCTCGACAGGAAATTGCAAACGAATTTAGGCATTGTGTTTCTGGCGCCTATTGACTACTGCAAGCAGGGTCCGCGTCCGAACACTTCGAACACAACCTGTGCTTCCTCCTCAGCACCAAGCACTTTGCCAAAGATTGCCACACGGCACCCCAGACGACGGGGCATGAGTAACGAATGGAAAACTTGTTTCTTAGTCAATCCGGCCTCAAAATGGACCTGTGTGCCACACCAGCCTGCCTCGGAACATATGCCATCGTCGAGCACCCACAACTGCTAAACTGCATGAAGCTTCGAGACATGATCTTGAGCATGTGTGCAGTTGGGGACTCTGCAGGCTGGTGCAGGTAGAATCGAAGTATTCGAATCGATAAATGGAAAACAGTCTTGCACAGAATTCCCACTGGCACGAGCCACGAGCCTCCTGTGAAGCCAAGGCCTCTCTACTCTGAGGCCTGCAACTCACAGATTCAGGCTGCAAAGTCGACTCCCTCGATGCGGTCCTCGCACTCCTGGTAGACGTCGCGCAGGCGTTGGAGGTTTTCGTCGTCGGTGTCCCAGTATCCCTTTGCGTTTGCTTCGAGGAATGTCTGGACCATGTCCCGCAAGGCATCAGGATTGGCTTCCAGCATCTTGTTTTTGATTTCCTCATCCTTGATGTACGTGCTGTTGCAGTCCTCATAGACAAAGTTGTCGACGGCATCAGCCGTTGTGCTCCATCCGAAAGTGAAGCGCATTCTCTTGGAGATTTCACGCACCCCTTCGTAGCCACCTTTGAGGTTGGCCTCGTAGAACTTTGGGTTCAGGAGCTTGGTGCGGCTGTCCAAGCGCACTTGCGCGGACAGCGACCGCACCTGTGCGTTGGCGGTGGTGGTGTCGGCAATCAAGGCTTCCGGCTTCTTTCCATCCTTGCGCAGGTTCGAGACGACCTTGGTGGGGTCGTTGTCGAAGTAGTGTGATACGTCGGTCAGGGAAATCTCGCTACTGTCGAGGTTTTGGAAAGTGACATCCACCTTGCTCAGCGCCGACTTGAAGAGCCCCGAAGACTCGATCAGCTCGCCAGGCGCGTCCGAGCTCAGAGCAAAGCCTTTGCGAGTGACGAACTGTTCCTGCAACTGCTCCTCGTCGACACTCGCTCCATTCTCCACGGCGATTCCGACGTTCGCAGAGTAGGAGCCGGCTGCATTGGAAAAGACCCGCGTTGCCGCCTGGCGCAGGGAGATGTTCAGCTCCTCGGCCTGCTCCATGGCGTGCTTACGCACGAAGTTCATCTCCGGAGGCTCCTCTGCCTCGGCAGCAGCCTTGATCGCACGATCCAGCAGGTTCATCTGATTGATGAAGAGGTCCCGAAAGACCCCCGAGCAGTTGCAGACCACGTCAATCCGAGGCCGTCCCAGCTCCTGTAAAGGAATGAGCTCCACCTTGTTCACCCGGCCAAGAGAGTCCGGAACGGGCCGGCACCCAACCAAGGCCAAGACCTGAGCCAAAGACTCGCCGTAGGTCTTGATGTTGTCCGTCCCCCACAACGTAAAAGCGATGGACTCGGGAATCTCGCCCTGCTGCTCCTTTAGAAAGATTCAGAGAGGAGGCACGAAGTGGCTAGCTCTGTCTGTGTGTTTCGAGCTGGTGCCAAGCTGCTATACAAGCTTCCGAGATGTGGTGATCAGTTTCCGCCGCAGTCTCTGCACGTGGAGTGGCAAGCATGTTGCGAGAGCTCACGACATCTCACGACTTACGGCGGGATTAGTTTGCGGGACCTTGCAGCAGGTTACACATGCAATCGGGCATCATCACGCCCCCCCCCCCTCCCCCACCCCCACCCCCTGGCTTTCGACAACAAGTCCTTCAAGGATTCTAGAAGCCGATCCACCACCACCATCGCCACGTCGCTTGCGGCCTTGGTTGGGATGGAGTTGGGGTCCAAGGCATGCATGTTCTTTCCGGTGGGCAAGACATCAGGATTTCGGATTGGATCACCACCCGGGCCCGGCTCAATGAACTTGCCCTCCAAGGCATTGATCAGGCTCGGGACCTCGTTGTTGCGCACCACCTCCCCGAGGCAGGCCTGGAGGTACTCAAAGAGCGGCTTCAGGGGCTCCTCTGCCACGCCTGAGAAGCCGGATTCATCTAAAGCCTTCTTGTAAGGAGAGCCCCCCGAGAAGAAATTGAACATGTCCTGCACGAAGGTGTTCACTTCTTCAACTCGGCCTTCCGAGTTTGTGGATTGCTGCACCAAGGCCCCGACCGCAGCACGGCTGGCCAGAGTAATCTCTTGCACCAATGCCACGTCCTCGAGGTTGCCGTCGTTGTTGCCCTTGTAGACGGCTTCGATGTCCTTCCCCCTACTCTCGGCCAGCAGCCGTGGAAGGCTCTTGATGCCCATCTCCGGACGATCCAACTGGGCAATGTTCACCAAGGTTGCAACGCTTTCTTCAGCAGTCGGTGGAACCCCGACTTGATGTAGGCCCATTGGCAGAGCTCGCGACTCGATTTCCATGAGCAAGCGGTACACCTTTCCCACCACTGCGTCACGCTCATCCAGAGAAACAGCTGCCATATCGTCCTCCTCTGAAGGGAGCTCAATATCTTTGTCCAAGTTGCACTGGCGAGCTGTTGCCACGATACTGTTCACGATGGAGGCACCACGCTGCTCGTTCTCGCGCAAGCCCTGGTAGGATTTCACCAACTCACTGAGTTCCTTCAAGCCTTTGTACAAGCCCGCGTTCTCTGCAGGAGGGGTCAAGTACGAGATCGTAGAAGCATAAGAGCGCCGCTTGGCGATGGTGGCCTCTGACGGGTTGTTGGCAGCATAGTAGTAGAGGTTCGGCAGCACAGAGATCAAGCGGTCGGGATAGCAGCCTCCGGACATGCCCACCTGCTTGCCTGGCATAAACTCCAAGGAACCGTGAGTGCCAAAGTGAAGCAACGCGTCCGCTTTGAAGATAAACTCCAGGTATGTGTAGAAAGCAGCAAAGCCGTGATGTGGGGATGCTGACTTGGCGAAAAGAAGCCGCATGGGATCGCCCTCATAGCCGAATGTAGGCTGCACACCCAGGAAGATGTTGCCGAAGTGCTTCCCATAGATCAGCATGTCCCGACCATCTGTGTTCAGCTCGCCCGGCGGAGCACCCCAATTCTCGCGCAGGTCCATGGCGAAGGGACACAACTCCTCGTACTCATCCACACTCATCCGGTAGGCCACGTTAAGATCTGACATGGACATGGCTGCCTCTGGGTCTTCTAGTATGGACTTCTGCAAGCCCTCCACACTGTCGGGCATGTCCTCGATCGTGTAGCCCTGCTTCTTTAACTCTCCCATCACCGCGAAGATGCTGCCGAAGACATCCAGGTAGGCAGCCGTGCCCACGTTGCCTTTGTCCGGAGGGAACTGGAAGACACAAATGCTGAGCTTCTTCTCGGCATTGGGCTTTCTGCGCAAGTTTGCCCAGTTCATGGAACGGGTCGCTAAGGCACCGATTCGATCTTGCATCGGAATGGACCGACCCGTGGTGCCATCGCGGCCGGAGAAGATCAGTGGCTCAATCGCACCGTCGATCTCAGGCAAGGACACCTGCAAGGCGACCTGCACTGGATGAAGGCCAAGTTGGCTGTTCTGCCACTCTGTGAAGGATTGAAAGACCAGTGGGACACTCACCAAGTAGGGTCGATTGAAGCGCATGAGGACCTCCTTGGCTTTCTCGGCATCCTGAGATGCTGGCCCGCCAACCAGCGAAAAGCCCGTTAAGTTCACCAAGGCGTCGACAAGGCCTTCACCGGTAGGACCCGCAAGGTATTCCTTTGCTGGCACAGAGAAGTCCAGGCCACCGGTGTATGTGCAGGCCACTCGTGCCCCACGCCTTTCCAGCTCCTGGACCATGCCCACGTAGTGGCCGTCATCCTTGGTTGCAATGTGCGATTTTTGCAAAACCAGACCAATCATCGGGGAATCCGGCGCGATGCCTGCTGCAGGGCAATGCACTTTGTCGTACCACTCCCTGTACTCAGTCATAGAGTCGAAAATGGTTGGAGCCAGAGGGTGCCAAATTCCCATGTCAGGAAGAACAACTGGATCCATCAGGGACTCTGCGTCAATGGAGTCCACAGATGGCACGTACCCACCTGCAATGCGCAGCAGCATTGCCTCCAAGTTTTCTGGGGTGCCGCCCAACCAGTGCTGCAGAGACAAGACGAAGGTCCTGGCGAGCATCCGGCACAGGAAAGCATCGCAGTTCCCTGTCGCGCTCCGTGAGGGACAGGTTACTGATTACTTGGATACATGTAGATGCGCCTCGCGCGAACACGTAAATTGATGGATGCATGCAAGTGAGCACGCAGACTCCTAACTCCTATCATGCATCTTTACCCACCAACAACCAACTTCAGCACAAACCCGAGTCCTCGCGTCTTTGGCCTGGTCTCCGGGTAGGAACTTCAAAACCTTGGGCAATGTTCGGACCAACTTGAGCAAGCTGTCCTGAAAGTTTCCACCTGACGAAGGCTTCGTTTTGGCCAGCGACTTCTGGCGCAAGTCTTTCACTTGCTGGGCAAAGTTGCCCAAAGGGCCTCCTGCGATCTGTGTCAAATCGAAAGTGCCCAGTTTGTTTTGCTTCATGACTTCAGGCATCGAGGGGAAACAAAGGCATGCATCAAGCTTTGCACGGCGTGGCTCGACGATCTTCACGAGCTTCTCAGCCAGCTCCTGCACGAAGATCAAGGAGCAGATGAAGATGTTGGCATCGTCCAAGTCCTTGGCGAGTTCCTCCTCACTAGCCGCATCTCGGATTTCTTCAAGCAGGTAACCGACGCACTCCATGCAGACGGGGCCTGGGGATTTGTTGATTTGGCGGATGGCCGCCGTCATCGCAGACTGGTACTGGGACTCGAGAACCACATAGACCACCTTCACACAGGCACGTCCCTCGCGCTGCTTATCGGTGGGGACTACACGGCGAGCGGCAACGTTCGACTGAGTGTAGCCACCAAATCCACCAGACATGCCCATCATGTCGTCTTCCCCATCCGGAGCTGCCAGGGTTTGGACGTCGGCGGTGGCCACTCGCCGCCCAACATGAGAGCGCTTGGAGCGAGATCGGGAGGCCCCCAAGGCCACGCCCAGCAGCGCCGCCGCGCCGGCCGTTCGGAGCTCTGGCTCCCTCACTTCGCTCTTTGCAAAGCTCGTCGGGCTGCCTTTGGGAGGCGCAGCCCTCAACGTGGCCTCACCGGGTGAGACGAAAGCAACCTGGGCGGACATCTCCACTGTGAAAGCAGCTGCGTTGAGCGTGTCAAAACTGGACTCGAGCCAACTGGGCAGGGCGAGATCAAGGCATCCTAGCAAGGCATGCTTCCCGGCGAAGTTACCTGCACTGCATCCATAGTGCCACCTGGCGGTCCTAGCAAGGCTGAGCTGTCGGCGGCTGGTGCCTTCTTCCGGAGGATGCCATGTAGGCCTGAGGCCTGCGCAGATTGCTCGACGTACATTGTCTTCTTATTCTAACTCTTCCGATCTCAACGAGCTTGCAGGGCTTTGCTGTTGGTATAGCACATGTGGCCAGTTGCCCCAAGTCGAGTTTAAGTCTAGGCAAAAGGCCGCCGCAGCCACCTAAGACCAAAAGAAGACGCAGAGACTGACTCGACGACCGACAGAAGTGCTCGCGTCAATGGCCAGGCTGTCAGGATAGCAATCCGGCCCAGTCATTGCACTACTGGATCATACTGGATCCATGCCAAGAAATACATCAGGATGGATCCGAAGCATCCGAACCCTTTCTCCCTTTTTCCTTTGGCCTCCGGGATGACACCTCCGACCTTCAGGTTGTGGCGATCTGCGCCACTTGGCTTCTCCTCAGAAGCCAGGGCGATTCTGTGACCAGATCGATCATGGCATGCCCTCCCCACAGAAATGCGAGGCCCAGACCAGCCGCGATCTGTCGTGGCTCTCCTGCCACGAGAAATCAAATCGAGCAGAGACTCTGGCCGCGCGAGACGGCTGGCCTGGTCCAGCCAAACCAACCGTCGTGGCCTCAATCGAATGATCGAGGAGGGTGTGAGGTACATGCCGTTGCTTGGGCACCGCCTTCTGGTGAATTCATGAGTTGCATACAATTTCTACAACTACTCCCTTTCGCTTGCCGACACCAACGGGACAGAGGAGGTCTCTTGCGGCTTGCAAGTTTGCAAACTAGCATCTCAGCCCGAGGTCCGCACAGCTGTCTCTCGAGCCCAGAATGAAACTCTGCAAGGGGTCCCATCCTTTGCCATGGTGAGGCAGGCTCCCGAGTGCTGGCTCTTGGTTTACGCAGCGAAAAGCATCCCGTCGCGATTCATGGAAGATGTCGATCTACAGTGTCGATTTGACTTCATCAAGTTCCTGCTGTCCAAGACTGGCGATTAAAGCAGCAGCTAGCATGCTCGCATGTTGAGGCCGTAGGGCTCCGGCTGACCATTCAGGTATGTGTTTCGGAGGAGCAAGTCCTGGAAACGTGCCGCATCTCAGGTCACTCTAGGCATGCTCTTGCGGCTGCACGGCAGTGGCCTCTGCCTCCAAACAGCTGAAATCTGCTTCGGACCAGCCTGTGCCTGATTCGAGGAGCCAGATGCAGCGGCCAGATGCAGCGTTGGGGTCGTCAGCCAGCACTGAGGATCCCACTCAGAGCCTGCTTTGACCTGCTGTTGACGACCCACTGTTCTGACCACAAGCTACGAAACGTCCGGCGCGCAACAACAACAACAGTGGTAAAGTTGAATAGAACTCACCCGACTTCTGGGTACAGCTAGGGCAGCCCCTGACAGGCAGAGGATTTCGTTGTCCTTGTCTGGTGCCGGAGAGCTTCAACCCAACAAGTAGCGCACCCGAGCTTCTCCGCCAGGCGTCGCTCGAGCGATGACAGCTGCCTTGGCAGGAGCTCAGAGTTCTCAGAACAGACGAATAATATTATCATTACTATAGTCGTGAATAATAGTAGAAATATAAAGCTAATAAAAATAAATTCAGGTTAGGTTTCTCTTGGTGCTGTGATTTCGGAAGTCTGCCAGACTCTCTTGGCCACCGGCTGCATGAACGCAGTTTTCAAGTTCATGTCAGGCCTGCCGGCGCTTCCAGCTTCCCCCCAAAACCCGATCCTAATGATTCAGGCCCCAAATAAAGACCCCTAAAGCCTTAAAGCATCCCCCTCTGAAAAGGCCCAGTCTGTAACAATTAGTCCGAACACTCCGTCTCCAACCTCCGGAAGCTTAGGAACTCCATGGTCTTGCGGAGGCCCCAACCTCGAAGGCGGCGGAGTCCCAGCGCCAAAGAGCAAAGAAACTCTCAGCGACTCGGGGCCGCGCTGTATTTTCTCATCATGTAAGCTCCAAGGATACAACAGGATCTCGACTGCCCTCGCACGGAGTGGATGAGTACCTGGCGCTCCGAAGAGTCTCAGTGGCTGGTAGCACAGCTAACTGTGGTGCGGCAGGACCAAAAGGGCGCACACTCTCGGCTGCATTCAGAGCCTCCTCTATGAAACGAAATGACTCGGACCTGGGCGCGGGAATGAATCCTACTGGCAGAACTGGAGTGAATCGGCAGGACCACGCAGATGGCGGCAAAGCCGTCCTGTTTAGTGGCCGACGACACGACATCGCGGGGATCCAGCACCACCTGCATGTGGCGCTTGCCAGGATAAGCACGAACCGCACACCCATCAGAGCCCAAACTCGCCTGGCTTTCTGCATCCACCCAGTAGTAAGTTAGGTATACAACGCCGATCGACCTCGGAACCCATGCATGCTCCGAGCAGCGTCATGTACACGTGAGTTCGACATTCCATGCTATACAGCAGGAAAGCATTGTCGGGTATCAACAGCTGAAGTAGGCCCACGGGCTCCCAGTGATTTGGTACCTGTCTGCCGGCGCAATTGATGACCCTGGTCACCTTCCACTCTGCACTTCACAGAAAGATCGCGTTCCTACAAAGGTGAACCGCGCTCGCACTAGGCATGTCCGCCAGTTTCAATGAATGGGTGTATGCGGGTATACAGGACAGTATAGGCAGTAGAGGCATAGGCAAGGGAAAAACGCGAGCATGCGAGCTGATGCAAGCTCGATGCCTTGTTGGAAACGACGAACTCCAAGTCCTCCAAGTGCCGTGGCCATTGTCGTTGTGCATAGATCCGATGCAGGTCATCTGCCCCAACAACCCAACCCCTTGTTTTCTTTGGATGCGACGCACATCTTGAGAGTTTATCGAAGCCGTGTGCAAAACACCTCGTAAAGATTTCGCTCTCGGTGATTGTATCATGGAAGTTTTGACCACGGCTCCACTGGTACTGGTGAGATCTTGGAACAGCGGCCAGGCAGAAGCCCTAGCGCTTCTGACTGCGGTGCGGAGTCATCGTCTTGATCAGGCGAGGGCATGGGTCATACTGTCATACTTCGTCTCTGCCTATTACTTCTGCATGCTTCTGCTACGTCAGAGTTGGCAGCCGCCGCTGTTGCTGGGAGGTGGACTCCTCGGTCTGAGGCGTGAGGGGAAGTTTGCCAGGTGCCGTGACCAGGGTGGATCTACAATCTCGACGCTCCAGACCATGTGACAGCATTTGCTTGCATCGTGCGCTGAGCGGCATCGCAGGTCTGAACGCCTCAGCCAGGCAGTCGGTAAGAGAAAACAGTGGCGCTGTTGCTCTCTCTACTTCAGTTCTTCGGTCTCGGCTCAGTGTGAACAGCTGCACAGGCTGTGATCTCCGTTCGTCGCTTCAACCCAAGCTGCTCCGCCGCCACTGCCGGCCACGCTGCCGGCTGGCTGTCTGGCAGAACCAAGGAGCGCTGCGAGGCCTTGATGGAAACAGACCAACACCACGTTCCGCTACACCGAGAGGGACGGGATCGGCGAGAGATGTTGATCATATGTGTTGCTAAGTTTTTCGACAGAGCCCTCTAAGAGATGTAGCCGAGGCTCTGCCGCCCGGCGGAGGCGGCGCATTGCTGTTGCCAAAGGCTGCCTGCAGCTGACACCCTTCACTTCGTCAAGATGCTTAGAAGCTGTTCCCGACCATGCCAGTACCTGCCCTTGCGATAAAGCTTTCCATCCGGAATTTGACTGACCCTTCTTGTCGTTGCTGTGCGCATCTGAAGAACCTGTTCCGACACGGGTTAGTGTGTTGTCCTTGCCTGTGTTCATCGGTCAACACACCCGACTCCAGGTGTTCACCACAGCTCAAGCATTGAGCCCTGGACTACTTTACAACATGCTGAACAACAGAAGCAGCTGTTCTACCCCCTTATTGGCGTCACTAGGACGCTCGGACATAGGCTGTCTGCAAGATTGCGCCTGATCGGCGAAATCTGTGCCTGTGAAGCTCCTCACCGGCCGCTGGGCGATCGGAAGCGCCTCCTGGTGAGCAGTGAGGGCTCGAATTGCCATCTGATGCTCCGGACGTACTGTTGGGTGATTGTGCTTGATACTGCGATGGCTGCAAATGCTTGCTGAGACAGCCTGTGCATGGCTTCATATCGAGCGCCTCTCCATACGGCGAGTAACTGAAGCCATGCGCTCGCGGTGCCGGAAGAACCCCGGGTGGCATGGCCTGGCCCAGGAAGAGCGGAAGTGGACTGAGTCCCCACCAAAAGCTCCCCGAAACTCTCCTCGTAGAAAGCGCCTGCAGCTCATCCACGCCCTTGGTCATCCCCTTGGCCCCTTTCGGGGGATCCTCGGCTTGCTGGGCTATTGGGAGGCCATAGAGCCGCTCATGCCATGCACACCGAGCGACGGAATAGCGGACGATGAGCCTTGCTTGGACCAAGGCGGATATGCCCACTGACACTCTTGCGAGGAAGATTCTGCAATGCACGGAGCACGAAGCCAGGGAGCAATGGAAAGCAAAAGCGATGGGAGAGTCGGTGAGCACAATAGCACTTCAAGCCAACCCAAACACAAGGGGCGCTGATGGGAACAACCAAACCCGTGAGCCAGCCGAGCAGCTGCAGGTTGGGTGCTGTCTCCTGGCCGTTCAGTCGGTCGAAACCTCGGATGCTTGCCGACAAAACCCTTTCTTCTTTGCCTGTCATCAGGTTGTGGGCTACGTGTGGCTGATACTCTGCAATCGGCATCGTCGTACTGGCTATAGCGCATACATGGCATGTTGACGAGGGCAGCCATAGCACACTCTCTGAGGATACCACACCACACTGCCTCGTCAAGGGTGTTCATGCGCACCAGGGCAACCGTATCGCCTTGCATCGGCACGAAGTGGAATGCTCAGTCTTCTCATGCAAATGCGAGCTCCACCCTTCTTTCCGTTGGTGTCCAGCACCTTGACCTCAAGTTTCAGGCCGAAGCATGTTTGTCGGACAATCGGTGCACAGACTCTGCATAGCACTACAGCTACGTGCAAGGCAGGGGGCAAAGGCGACCCCGGCAAATTGACCGAAGAACGCAGTAATGGTTTCCTGGGTGGCAATGAATCCAAGAGCCAAAGAAGCCTAAATTTGGAAATAATTCCTCGGCTGTTCAGGGCCGACCCTGTGATCTGACGTGTAACGGATCCGGGCCACTGTGGTGCTCCCCGGCGGAAGGCCCATCACAAACAAGCTCTCTGTCGGGACATTCCTGAGATGCAGATCACCTCCCGTCCGAAAGCCACCATGGGGCGTTGTGTCACAGAAGCCGACAAGCCGCTGTCTCTCGAGCATGTTCTTGACCTCACCCTGTGGAACCAGCAAAAGAAAGTTACGCTGAAGGCATCACGAGATTTGCACAGGCCCGCTCATCTTTGTAGCTTCTAACAATACTTCTGCCTTCGCAGCAGTACTGGACGACAGGAGGGTCCGGATTGTCAGCCCCTTGTGTAGGCTGCCATCCGTCTGTCGTATTGCCTCAGCAAGACATCTCTTTTCCTGGCTCGCAGCAGCCTGCCATGCCTTCTTGCTGAGCAAAGCGCATGCTGCGCTTCTTCAGGGTATCTGAATCTCGCCAAAGCATATCCTCGGGGATGCAAGAGGCAGGCAATGGGCCATGGGAGGCCGCAAAAAGGACTAGACCTTGGCCGTCCATCTTCCCTTCACAGCAGACCTCCGCAGCTGTCCATCTCACCCACACGACTTCACAAAGTCGCCCTGCCTTTATCATTGTGATCCTCCCCATGTCTTTAAACATCTGCCGAATCGACTCCTGCGCAGAACATTCCCAACCCCGGCATGCCTGCCCGAGGAGAACACATCTGGGTCCTCATCCGTGTCTCGCGGCAAGCCGGTGATCAGGACCTCACCTGGGCCACAAGCACATCGTCTGCTGATGGGAAAGCAATGGAGTGGGCCATGGGGCGATGCTGCTCCGATATGATTTGCACGATAAGGTCATACGTCATGAATGTCCGAGCAGCTCTGATCCGCCGGGATGTTCCAAGGATCGAGCTTGCCTTTACCCTGCATCCAAAGTGAGGGACATCCTCACGCCTGCAATAGGATGGCATGCACACGCTGCCTTGCCACCGTCCGACTGATGCGGGCCGCGATCATTGTCCGCAAGCTTCACCTGTTCAACACGAACGCCTTCGACAGTCACCGAAAGGCAACATCCCCTAACACCTATGCACATCCGAGGCCGCTGCTGATATCACTGCCCCACCTACATCATACCTGCAAAAGTAGTCGAACTCTGAAGCAGTAGCGAGCATGGAGCAAAGACGAGTCGGAACACGACTGAGCGCTGCATCTTAGCATGAAGCGGCTCTGAGGCTCCGTCTCATTCAGAGATTTGATCGCTGCAGCGGCATGGGATGGATCGCCATACCTTCGGTAAACGGAGTAGCGACATTGTACCCTCCCGAAACATGCTGGCCGCATCTGGCCGCCATGCCATCCGTCAAACGTCTCCAGCTGCAACTACGTCATGTGTTCCACATGCTGTTGTAAACTTCCATGCTGGGGCGTGGCTTGACGAAGGCATACCCGAAGCCACCCGTTCTGCGAGATGGGCAGACCTGGCATGTTCCGCAAAATCCGGCTGAACATTGCTATATACAAATCAAATCTGCTGAGCTTTGGACTCTGGAAGACCAGATTCTCCCGAAGCGCTCGAAAAGCTGGAAAAGGTGGGCATCATTAAAGCCTCCCGGTTTGCGAAGTTTCCTAGCAGCACCACTTCAGTACTGTTGCGAGCCTGGCGGAAGGCCAGAAACATAAAGATTCCTTGGTGATCAGTCTGAACCCAAACGGGCCAAACTTACAATGCCACGCAAGTTCGCTCCTGGGTCAGCCCCCGAAAGCTAGTGGTGTGGCAATCGCAGCGGCCCTCTCCCGGATGCAGTCTTGGCTCGTCCCTGCCATCGACATCCCGTCAAGGGAGCTGGATGCCTGCGATGGAATGGGCGACGCAACCGGGCGTGCAGAAATGTGGTGGGGAGTTTTGAACTGAGAACTGAATCCGGCCTCGCAGCCGCACACCTCGTCGAGTCATCGCTGCGGGCGGCATTAGCGTCCGGCGCGGCTTCAGCTCCCAAACACTGCGCCGCAAACAAGTGCCTATTTAGCCTTGACTCTTGGAACTGCCCTTGGGCGAACCCCGTGAAAGATGACAGCTGACGATCAGACATGCGAGCGTAAGCCACCATGCTTCAAGCTGCAGGACGGGGGACAACCAATGCACCAGCCAGGGCTGTGGACAACAGAGGCTCTCGAACTACCCTGACGTCCTGGGCTGCCAGGGCATCACCAATGAAGAGCCCGTCCTGCCCAGCACAGCGGCACGGAGCATTGAGCTCCACCTGACACAACCTGACATCACCAGAGCAAGAACTCACAGTGCCTTGACCTTGACCGCTCCAAGAATCTCGTAGCCTTATCTGTCACGCTCAACTGCGTGTTGCTCGAGCTATGCCAAACTCAGGCCGCAGCCGAGACCAGCACCAGACATCTGCAGGCATCTGGGCCTTCAGGAGCTGGGCCCTGAGCTGGAAAAAAAAGGGAGTGCAAGGAGTGCATTAAGGCATGGAGGACTGACCCAGACACGGACGTCACTGCTCCGCGTCTCTGCGACTGGCGCTTCGGGTCTACGGCTCTGGCTGCAGAACACGAGCTAGGCTCAGTCTACGATGATGTGCTTTTTTGTTTTGGGAGTGGCACCAAGGCCATAGACTCCTCGGGTGCGGGTGTCTCAGGGATGCTAGGTGACAAAGCTTGCGGCGGCTAGTTGCTGCACGGATTGCTTCGTGGCGGTTGGCTCTGCTTGCAGATCTCCAATGGGGCATCGGTGATTGCAAACGCTTCCGGTTTGCTCGGAAATCCTAACTTTACAGGCGAGGGTGTTCTTCACCTGTGGCTAGGAGCCAAGATGTGGAACGTGACGGCCTGAAGCCTAAAGCAACAAGTACGCTTAAAAGACTCTTCTGAAAGCATCGGCAGGCAGATGAGCGGTCCAAGGCGTTTTGGGCACTCTGTCATGGAAAACGATGAGCGCAACCAGCCGCGCTGACAAGAATATTGGAGGTCTAATGCCCGACCCAATAGTAGTCCTCCTGGGCTCTGGCAACACGGAGCCCGCGTACCAGCGACAGGCATGCTATGCTGCCATGCTGATACCTCTGATGCTAGTGGTGTTAAGGATGGTAGTCAGGATCAGGGGCAAGGCTCCAGGGAAGCCAGAGCAGCAGGAAAGCCTACCAGTCCGTGCGCTCAGCTTTTGCCCAGAGGAGGCCACGCCAGACCTCAGCATGGCTGGCGAAGCGCGCAATCCGCCTCGGACCCTTGCTGTGGCGGGAAGAGAATCTCTACACAGCTACACACTCTACCACGCCCCCTTACCAGCTTGCTCCTGTACACACATACTGTCACATGCTGCGAGGTGGGTGATGTTACTACGTCACCATTCTTGCGATTCGGCGAATCATTCTTGCGCCCGGTGTTCTGCGTTCGGCGGCGCTAAGATGGCATTCTACTATACGCATCTCCACGAGGACACACGAATCACACCAACAGCTTTGGGCCGAGGACTCGAAGCTACAAATTACCCTTTCGGCTCCAGCCTTCCAAGTATCCCCGCTCAAGCTCGCCTTTTTTCAGCCTCTCGGCCTTATTCGTGCTCATGGGCCGACTTGCCAGCGCGAACGGCTGCCCCCACTTTGCTCTCTGCGGTCCCGTCTGCGTAGCGTTTGTAAGTGTCCTCAGTCCAGTCGTGGGCGTGACGGGTGCCACAATACAGCTACAGCGTCCGTGCTAAATTCCTGGTGCCCTAAAGCAAGAAGAGCACCCAAGTTTGCCCGAGTGTCCACCAGCCTCTCTGGGTCTGGCAAGGTGTCCTTCACCGCAGGCAGCGCCAGACACGCGTCCAGCCAGGTCTGCAGAGGAGCAAAGGCCACACGGTCGTATGCGAAGCTTGCGTCTCGATAGCGCTCGATGATACCACACGTGAAGATGCCTGATGCGAGCAAGGAGCGAAACACTCCGAATACAAAAAAAAGCACTGGGGCTCCAGCGATAGCACCAAGGTAAAGCAGCAACGTCGACTATTGAGAGGTTCTGACCTGAGGCCGCACAATGGGGCCAAAAATCTCTCCCGTCCCGCAAAGCACGGGCTTCCAGCCAAAGAAGAAGGGACCCTGGAGATTCTCCTGCAGACCGGACGAAACGACGGTTGAAGCTCTGCCGTACCGCCAGTTTCTTTCGAGCTCTTGCGCGAGCAGGGAAAGGTTGGGTGAAGCACCTTCAATCTCGTCATCGTTCTCATCATACAACTACTCTCTCTCTCTCTCTCTTCTATATAACCGTCCTCATCTTGTGATCACTACCATCGTCATCATCACACCGCCATCACCATCACCAACATGATCACCAGCACCAGCAGCCGTAGAAGCAGTGCAATGATCTCAAAATGAACACAACATGCTGAATACAGGTGATATACGTGAGAAACAGGCTGAAATGCGACACAAAATCCAAAAAGCCTTTCTTGTTTAGACGCGACTGACACTTCTTTCATATCCTTTACACCACCCCGACCCTGCCGCATTCCGGAGACATCATGGCTTCCTCGGCAAAATGTGAACCAGCCTCTAAAACTAAAAAACGCACGACAAGTATAGGCAAAATCGCTTCCTGATGCCCCTGATCTACGGCTACAAATATACGCCCAAGCTGCTACATTGTGATTATTTTGAACGTTCGCCACAGATTTATACACTTCTTTTGTACCGCTTTTCTGCACTTGTCACGAGCCTACTGGTACCCACGGTGTTTTGCCACGTTCAATGCACTTTCAGAAGTACCGTCTATTCAAATCGCATTTACGGTTGTATTCAATCGTTGAAGCAATGGACTTGGTGAATGCCGTTGTATTCATACTTTATATATTGACGTACAAAGACGCGATTCGGAGGATTTCCAGCCTTAACAGTCTCAACAGACCAGAGGACTTCAGAACGGCTGGTCAGCGGCCAGTCTTAGCCACAATCGACATCATCCCACTGTGGCCGTCAACGACACCATGATGATGAAGAGAGCCTTTGAAACGGATCGACATGCTCATCCTCTCTCTGTGGCAGTGCTCTGCGTTGGGAAATCAGGGCGATAGTTGACGCGAATGACTTGCATAACATGTCTTCCGTTTGCGTTCTTTTGCAAGCGACATTGAAGCATGACTCTGATATGACTCTATAGCTGTGCCTGCGACCGGGAGGCCACTCAACAACACGTGGATACCAAGTTTCAGGAATCACGTCAAGTTCAATGCATGTGCGGTGTCCCCAACATATCAGGGAAGCATGTTGCACACTGCCCAAAACATATTTTGAAGACACTTGTCCTCTCTGTCTGGCTGGACTCTTTTTGCCACATGAAGCGGAGTTTCACGGCAACTGTAGCAAGGCTTCTGCAAGGCCGCTGCCTGAAACTTCTGCAAGGCCGCTATGAGCTTCGCGTGGCCCTCCCTTCGCCTCTCCACGTCTGTCGGCACGAGCACGGCATAGAAACTCGAGCCTCACGGACATGTGGTCCTTGCTCTAGCTACGAAGTTGCTAGCTCACTGTAAGGATGTAACTGAGCTGCTGATGTTCTTGTCTGCCCAACTCGCCCAAATCCGGGCCCTGGCCCGAAGGACTGGATCCTCTGGGAGCAGAGGTTGGCTGAGGCTTCGCTTCCCCGCAAGGTCGTCGGCAAACTCCACGCAGGTGAGGGACTCGTAAACAGCCGGCTGTGACTCGTCTGCTCGCACCTGCCAATGCCAATGGCAAAAGAAGCCCGGGCGCTGAGGTACGCGAAGAAGCGGCTGAGGTCCCGACAATTGTGGGCACCAGGCCAGAGGGGTGGTGCTTCAGAAGCAGCGGATGCTTCTCATAACCTTTGGCATCCTGGAATCCAGGCAGAAGCCTACATGGCCCTACCACAAGGTCTATGGGTTCACGGGATCCTTCAGCGTTTGCCCCGGCTCCAGCTTCAGGGTAAGTGCCTCCACGTACTCCTCGGATGAGGCTCTCTGCGACCCGACTCCAAGCGTGGACATGGTTGGGCCTGGGCCCCATGTCACTGCCACGGCACGTACGGAATCTTGTGATGGTTCAGCGCAATCCACGCTCGCTGCCTGAAGTTCTGTTCTGCTTCATGTAGACTGTAGACGAGGACATCCCGCCGGAAGAACATGCTTAATGCCGACAAGAGGCGCATATGGGCAAAACCATGCACACAGAAACTTCCATGCAGGATCTTCCTTTCGCTGGCGCTTGCTCGCGACCTCGTCCTCTTCCATGCCGAGACGTGGCAGCAAGACAGATCTCGTCCGCGCCGGCTGAGCGAGGGGGCGCCAAATTCCGCGCATTCAATCGAGATCCGAGGCTGTTCTTGAGCCGTCCGGCGTTCAGGCCTATGGAGCACCGGGCTGGACTTGCTGCAGTCTGAGTTCTTCACGCACATCATCGTGCATCGACGACGGCAGCCACTTAAGATAGCCTCTGTGCATGAAGTTGATTGAAAGACTTTTGCGGGCATCCAGACTCGCCTTCCAGAAGGAATCGCCGGTCGCTCCTTTGTCTAGAAGCGGCACTCCACCCCCGCAACTGGCACTCTTTCTCTCCCTCTGCTCCGCTCCTCCACTTCGTGATGAGTTGGCGACGCGACCCCACCTGCTCTGCATAGCTCTGCATAGCTCTGCAATGGCTGCAGCTGTCTCCATTCGCATCTCTGACTCGGCTGGGGCCCACACCCGAAACTGCCAGAGTGGGCTCACCTGAGCATGCTCTCCTCGATTGTGTACGATTCTGCTGAACGTCTACGAGTAAGGCATGGACCATAGCGGACACTCTCGGATTGGTCGGGGCCTGAGACCGAGCCAAAATTACTTGTCGAAGCGACAGATGAAGCTAGGACCCCAGCATGCAAAAGCAAGGAAGGGCGCGCCAGCAGCTTGTCCTCCACGACTTCTCTTCTTTACTCGGCTTCTTAAAGCTCAGAGCTGCAGTGCTTGCGCCTGAGATGGCAGACCCCGGACCACTGCACCTTCCAGCAGCGCCTCAGCTCTCAAATAGAACCCCCCCCCCCCTCCCGCTGCGTAACAACGGTGCTGGAGGCTCAGAAGCGAGCCTTGGCAAAAACCTGTGAAAAACATATCATATTCTCGGCCACACCACGGGCAACAGTTACTGTAGCTGCCTTGTAGCGAAAGTTCGACTCGGACGGCACGTCCACCTCCCGAAATAAGCAACAATGCCCACTGGCTCTGGTATCACCGGCCTTTGATTCTGGCCTCCACTGTCGGCAGCGAGTACGACAGTGGAGCATACAACCTCTGCGATTCCGCGATTTACCGACTGCTTCCAACAAGCTGTTTTTGCCAATAAAATATCTGCGTCATGCGTGCTTTCGCCCCCACGTGCGCACTGCTTTCGCCCCCATACACACAGTCTCTCTCTCTCTCTCTCTATCAGAATTGCTATTGTCAGGTCGCGGTATCGTTGTCAAGTACATAAACTCTGGCGTCCTGTTTCGAACTAACATATGTGGATGTAGCTCCGATGTATGAATGTCGCGAGGTCGAGTATGTAGCAAAGAAAGTGCACGTTGGATGCATGCACCCTCCCCTCTTCCGTGAGTCTTCTCAGCTTGTAAGGCACTCTTGAGACAGGGACGGGCTGGCAAAAGCAAGCACTTTGTCCTGCAAGACTGTGACTTTTCAAGCTTTGTCACTTGGACGCCGAGAGCAGTGTGCACTGCAGTCCTGCTCTGACAGGTATCGAGGTCCTGGAACGGGGAGGAACCTGGAAAGCCGAGCCGCTACCCAGTACACCGGCCCAACTCTCTTCTGGGCTTCGAGCTCTCCGAGCTGCAACAAAGGGCAGCCACCGGCAGCGGCGCGCTGGAGGCCAGGACCGGTTGTCAAGCGCATCTCATAGTCTAGAGGTCTGACTGCGAGTAACTGCAGCAGCGAGAGAATTCGCAAGACTCGTTTCCCCGAACCCTCGAGCAACAAGACTGGTTTGTCATCACATTCAGTTGCCCCACAATGGATTTCGTGAAACTCCTAGCACGTTAAGACGCGGAGTCCGAAATCCATCGAAGCTGGTAGCCGCAGCGGCCTTCGCCAGCTGCAACGGATCCACCGTGACGCAGTCCCTGCATGGCCCCCGAAGACTCCGGTGAACGTGTGTAGGGCGTCTGTCCTACAAGCTGCACAACAATGACACCTTAGACCCGTATAACAACAAACTCAAAGACAATGGCAGTGGCCTAATGCAACTATACCGCTCGATAACGCCAAACACATGAAGTCATGAAAGTATCACCGTGTCCGTATGGGACCCCCTACTCCAGAAGAGGCAGACTCAATAAGCTGCTCGTCCCTGCTAAAGCTGCTAAAGGGTTCGACTGGGACACAGCTACTTGTAGATCTTCGCCGTCTTGGCCGATTGATTCTCGTGCCCATCGTGCCTCATGAAGTGTTTGTGGGTGGATATGATTTCCTTAGTGGCCAGCTTGCGCAACGCATTTTAGCATGCACATGGGTACACGGATAGCATCCAAGAATCGTTGAAGACCAACACGGAAGGGTGGGGCCTGCACATGCACTGGTGCTGGGTTGGTGCTAAAGTCGGCAAGGTCGAGTGCCTGTGTCTGAAAGCATTGGACGATGTGTGGATGAAGACCGGATGCTCCCGACCCAGATCAGCACAGATGTAGGCACGATTGCCTCCACCGTGGCTCGATTGATGATAGATGTCTGGGACAACGGAGGACCGCGCCTAGATCGGGACAGGCGACAGCGACCCGGTCCAGCAGGCCCTCGACGATGCACTCGCCTCAGAGGTCCACATGCGCTCCGTGCAGCCTTGCAATGCGCTGTTTTCCTGGTCGAGCCGGTCTTAGGTCCCAGAAGTCCCAGGTGCCAGACGAAGGAGCAAAGCCTGCAAGAGAAAGCATGGCAAGTTACACCTGGGCGTATCCCTGGAGGCCTGTTGTGCACTGGGTGGCTTTGGAAGAAGCGGTAACTGCAACTCCAGTTCCGTCTCCCTCGGTGGAGCAGGCTAATTGTGACCGCAGGTTCTTGCATGTCTGCTGGCGAGAAGTAGATCCTTGTACTTAGCATTGCTACAGCTGAGCTTCGACGTGGGCTTGCGGGAAGTCAATGCTGAGCTTCCAGGACGAAGCTCAGGCACCGACGATAAGCTAAGCCTGCGCCTCACATGGCAAGTATCGATTGACGGTGGTCGGCGCAGGCATTGCTTGGCTGGGATTCGAGCTGCAGCAATTCCGCTAGCTGCTGCATGAGACTGTGGGCCTCCAGGAACAGTTGCCAACTGGGTGTTTCAAGCGTTAGCTAACCGTTAGCAATCTTCAGAAATGCCTCCGCCATTTGACGGGGGTTGATCTTATTCTGCTGGCAGAACGACTCAGCAGCCTCAGTTCCCACAGCTCCAGTGACTCCAATCCATCTCCGGGCACACGACACGCTTTGACGACCTCCTTGGCACATGGCAGTCTCTCCACCTCTTGCGGCCCAGGCATAGCCACCTATTCTACTGCGAGCGTGCAATAAGCTTGTGGGTGCCACCGGCAAACTCTCAGCCCACCGCCCATCAGCCACAGCAGGCCCTCTGCATCATCTCGCAGCTGGCTCCTAAAGCCAAATCGGAAGTCGAGTCGTGTTGTGTGAGGAAAAGCGAGACAAAGACCAATGAGGTCCATGATGAGGTGATGTAAGAACGACCGGGAACAACAGCGCGACAGAACACGAACAAAAGAAAGAAGGAGTATGAACGACAGGACGGAAATACGCAGAACGCCACCACGACGAATTCAAGCTGTCGTGCAACGGTGAGAAGGGGTCTTTTGAGCACGAGCCGTCGGCATGCATGACGCCGCGATGAGAGAGAGAGAGAAAGAGAGAAATCGTTGCCACGAAGTTGACCATGGATTGTGAGCACACCATGCTGGCACAAAGCAGTTGGCTACGAGCATCTAAGAGAATACCGTTTCGCTGAGCAACCAAGAGGTCGAATGCGAACCTCGAGGATAGCAGAGTGACAACTCGCCGCAATTGTATGCAATTGCAGTGTGAGCTTGGTGGCACCTCTTGGCACTGTCACGACATGGGCAACTCTTCAGGTAGTCGTCGCAAGCTACCAAGCAAGCAACTTATCTGCAGTGTCGCCCCGGAATTGCTGTCCAGCGAACCAGGAAACCAGCAAAAGAAGCCCCGCCCAAGGCCAAGGATCCCAGGCACTTTGCCAAGGTGTGCAGCACGTTGCTCAGGCTCAGCACATGCTACGACTCAGGCAAGGGCCACTTTGGGGCCTGCTTTTTCGTAGCCTCGTCCAGTCTCCGCTGCGCCTGCGGAGATGCACCTACTTCTCCATGGGTATAGTTATAAGTAGGGTAAGTAGGATAACTATAATTCTATAATTATAACCCATATTAGGGGACCCCCAGCATCTGTCGTTTTCGCCGGACAAACCAAAGCTTCCGCGTCGCCGCAGCCGCAGGCGCTTCGGCACATCGGCCTCGGCTCTCGGGCTTGGGCGAGTCTACCTGGCGCTTAGACCATGTGGCCGCACAACATGGTTTGCTTTTTGTTTTTTTTGGTTTTTTGGATGTTTGTTCTTCTTTTTTTTTTGCGTTTTCGACTTTTGCTTTGCAAGGGGCGCTTGCAGCCGCCCAGCGGCCCAGGGGCCTCGCCGAGCTGCCTGGCTGGTTCTGCAAGGGCTATTTGCGGCGGCATCTCTGCACACAGCGCTCTGCTGATCTACTGCACAGACTGCACGCAAAAGCTCTCTGGCATGGGCGTCGACTTCGCGTCCACAGGCCGTGCTGAGATAGGAGCTGGCGGTGTGAAACAAACCTTATGAAACCTTGAACTGCACAACCTTAAAGGCAAGCAGCAGCGTAACCGAGAGGGCCTGGCCCATGGTATCATTAGCTCCCCGGCTGGAGAACCGTTTGTTGTTCTCATGCGGTGTTCTGCAACGCCCTGAGGCGAGCAATGATCACGGCATAGTCATAGACGGCGCCCACCCAAGCACGAAGCGACTTTGCTCCCTTTGAGATCCTGTCCACCCACTCAACCTGCAGCTCAGGATTGTCGATGTACCACTTCAGTTGAGCCAAAGTCTTGGGCGAGACTCGTTCCGCGTCCAAGCTGAGCAATGTCTGAAGCAGCGTCTTATCGTTCATCATGCTGCGCAGGCCGGGCCAATCGTCGTATGGATGCTCTAGCAACAACGCAACCGCCTCCAGAACAAGGCGGCAAACAGCGGGTGGCTTCATGAAGCTCTTGACTTCAACCACATCTGCTTTGCTCAAGGTGTCTAACGCTGCACGTGCGAAACCCAGCGCGGTCTGGAGCTGGCTGCTCAGGCCATCGACATCGGCACCTAGGCCAAGAAGCTCTGACGCCTGCTCCATAATCGCCTCAGCCGAGGCAACTGAGTACTGCAGCTGCCCTCCATCGCTTCCCCAAGCTCCTGCGGACTGCAGCGTCACCGTGTAACGGTCCATCGGCTCGTTGCTGCCTTGTAGGAACAAGGAGATGATGCCAGCATCCGGAAACTTGGGCCGAAGGCGATCGACGATGTCCTTGTAGGTCCACGTGGGAAGCGCCTCCTCCAGGACCAAAGCCTCCCCCGAGAGGAGGGAGAATAGCTCCAAGCGGCCTCGAGTCTCAGACTCTCCGAGCTCGGAAGCTTTCGCCGTGGAACCCTTGGTCTTGGAGCTTCCTTCGACGCGGTCGGACGTCGCCTTCGCCGCCTTCGCCGCCTTTGCCCGCTCATCCCTGGCTGCCTGTGCCTCCGCCTTCGCCGAGCGGAGGTGCTCCTCCGTCAAAGGGAAAGATGGACCCGGGCAGCCACAGGAGTCTCCCAAGGAGTGGCACCAGCGTAAGAGCAGGACACAGGCAGGGGAGAACAGAGCCATCACCTCCGTGGTCAACGATGTGACCTCCAACTCTGAAGATAGAATGTCGCGGATGCGATGTTGGTCGCTCGGCTCCGGTGCGTAGGCTTGCAAGTCGGCTATAAAGTTTGCGTCTCCCTGCAGCAGCTCTCGAATCTGCTGCCAACTTTCCGCTTTCGTGCCTGGACGCGTGGACCTGAGGATCGCTTCGAACATCTTCTTGACATACGTCGGCACAGGGCCGCTCAAGACCGTCTTCAGGTCTTTCGAGGCGACGAAGTCCAGGTCCGATCTGGCCTTCGCCATCGGCACCACTTTGGATTCCATGGCGACAGAGCGGTGCTAAATGTGCGGATTCCGGGACCTATGTTGCTCTAGGCACCGGTTCTGAAGAGCGAGCAAGTCTGGTCTTAGCGACGTGCTCAATCCATCTACTGTCTCGCCAGCTAGCGTACCAGTCTTCACCGTATGAATGGTTTGTCTCATCACTTGTGACAACCAGAGCCAAGTGAAAGAACGGTCTCACAACTCACAACCCAGACCCCAGAAACGCCGCCAGCCTTCTTTCGAGTCGCACTGACGGCAGCGCTTCCAAGGGGCGGTCCGGGGCGGCCATTAATCCGTCTTGCAAGCGACGGTACACGGCCTCACACCCTGCACATCTATGCTGATAAGTGGAGGTCTGAACAGCTCCTTCGAAACACACTATCACTATGCCAGGTAAGGATGCTTCTAGAATTGTCATGCTGACATTCTGCTGCTGATCGCATGATTTGATGCTGTCTGTGCCAGGAAAGGTCCCGTTTGAGGCTATGGCGGTGGTGCAAGCGACACTTCGTCCCTATGAAGCCCGGCGCCTCTCTTTGGGCACGCACCAGCTCGTTCTCGAGCATTGCAGTCTTACCTTGCACAGGCGAGCATGACTCCAGCTGGCTGTGTTTTCTGAAGCAAAAAGTGGCATGCAAGCACCGCCAGCCTTCGTCCAGCTCCTGCACAGATTCCCAGCATGTCAGATTTCCGACCTGGCTGGCGGCAAGCTCGATGACAGCCGGTTCTTTCATTGGACTCACTCAGCGCAGAGCAGATAGAGCAGCGACGATCGCGCAGGCATGGCCAATGATGTGATCCGCCTGCACACAGTTCTGAACCTTGATGAACGACACATTTTACACAGTACTTAGCACGGATTTTGTGAGAGTTGCTTAACCGAAACAAGTGCTCAACCACTGGCATGACGACACGCCTTTTTCAGCGAAGCTCCGACCAACCGTGCATCCTAAAGTGTCCTGGCCTCTGTACAAAAGCTCCAACTCCAGGCATTACAGTGAGCAGGCGATGATGACTCTATGCATCATGCTTTACAGCCTAATTCAGAAATATCCGCGATCGTAGCCTCCTGCGAGAATCGCCTGAGATTTCGCACCAGAATGTCTTCCACGTGCGAGCGCCGCCGCTGGAGATTCTTCCCAGAGATTGCGGGAACCGAACGAGTGGGCGTGCTGCGCAGTTCGAGCTTCTGCTCGAGCTGCGCGTGGCCTTGGCCTCGGCGGCTCCGGGATGGGCCTTAGACCGGCCGAGCGGGCGCGCGCCGCCCGCGCTTGCGGCCTTTCAGAACGGCTGGCCCGACTTGGCGCCGCAGTTCTCGGAACTCTCGTGGCAGATTCGGGCCTGCCTGCATTTCCCTCGCGTGCGTGCCTCTGCCGTGCTGCAGTTGAAGGAGGTGTGGGTGCTGGCCTGCACTTGGCCGCTGCAGCGGCCTGTCGATTCGCAGAGAGCCGTTGGGCGGATGGCGTTTGGCTTCGGCTGGAAGGCTGCGACCTTCGTCCAGATCTGCCGCGGCTTGCACCCCTCCTTTCACCGTCTGCAGATGCCAAGTTCGGCCTCCTTAGTTGCAGAGGCATTGGAGGCCCAATGGAGGCATTGGGCCACAAGGCGCAGAAAAGGCTGCCAAATTCAGAGTAGGTTCTGCCTCAGCAGCTCTGTGGCATGCTGGCGCTCCAGGCCTTCGTCGCCTGCAAGTCTACAGCGTCAGGTTCTTGAGGCTTCTTCTCAGTCCGCAGCCTGGTCCCTGAAGTGCCAGGCCACGGCAGAGGACCCAGTGGGCAAACTCATCGAACAAGACCATGCCTCTCCGGCTAGAAGTGTCATCACTACACAGGATATCGAGCCATGTCAGCGGACTGCCAAGCCTCCACCATCTGCGTCGACCTCATTGAAAGCTTCTGCTGCGTCGCTGAGGTCACCAGGCAGCCGCTCGTTGAGCTGCGGTAGTGCCGCCCGGAACTCCTGAAACAACGCGCGGCATCTCAACCAGATGAGAAATAACGAGGATGGCAGAGAGAAAACAAGAAACAGCCGCTCCTCTATGCTGACTCGTTGATCGCAGCTCGTGTCCACCTAACAAGGCGGGTTCGTCCGCTCAGTCCACTCTCCAGTGCACCTTTTACTCATCGAAGCTACCCTGCCTCGCAGAACCAGGACCAGAGCTGCAGGTAATGATGCAAGTACTGCACGAAGTAGTGGAACTCCTTCTCGTCGATGTAGTCGTTGCCTTAGCCGGTTGACATGACGGGGGCAGTCGTCAACACGCGGCCTGGTCAGAAACAGTCTAGGAAAGGTTGCAGAAGGTAAGAAACGTATTTTGGAGAAGGTTTTCCTTGCTTTGCAGCGCTGGACAAGAAGACGAGAGTCTGAAGGCTGCAACAGGCGCCGAGATGGCTTTGGCTGCATGGAAGGCACGAGCCACCACCTGCTCCGAGGCACGCTCAGTCCACAAAGCGCCTGCCGACCGCAGCGGCATCATAACGCACTGTGCTTGCAAGGCCTCTCGTGGCAACGGGCAGGGCAGCAACTTCTTCAGCCCATCATCAACCTCTGCAAGAGACAGGATGGCGTTGCCTGAGCCCACACCGGTGCGATGTATTTGCCAAAAGCTCCAGCCCTGTAGGGCCGTAGGGGGTTCGGAAATTTCGCAATGCACTTAGACGGCGACCGTTCGGGTCAAAGGAGACGAAGAGCTCCCGGCGTTGCGAGGCGGCGGCCTCCAAGCGCCGCGCTGCGCGTCTCATTCTGCGTGCGGCAACGTGCTCGCCGCGCTCGCCGCTCCGCTTCCTCTCTCGCCTCGTCCAGTCCGCAGGGCAGCTGAGCCGCCAGGCTTTGCACAGCTTCCGCTGCAGGCATTGCTGCCGCCGCCATGGCAACGAACACAGCGGCGACGAAGTGCAGAACACGCCAGGCCCTAGAGTTGAACGCAACGCCGCAGTAAGGCCTTTGGCGACGTGGGGATTCGTGCGGCAGAAGGAGTGTTCGATGGGCTCGACTTGCTCTCCGGGCGGAATATCATCACAAATTAACCCCACATAATCGTGATTCGTGAGCCGTTTCGGCTAATCCTCGTCGACACAACGAAATGTACAGTGTTCGTGCGAGAATGGTATTGTATCATATCAACCGCATCAGCCTGATTGATGAGCTATCCCTGCGGAGTCTTTCAGAGGCCGCAGTGGCAGGACGCGCGAGTCGAGTCTTCAATTGGGCGGGCGCCTTGAGCTCCGCACTGGCTGTGATGGCTGCCAAGAGCATGCGAGCATATCTCGGGGCCTTTGGAAGACAGAAACCATGGGAAAAAACCGCCCCAAAAAGGTCGGCCCCGAAAGGTGCCGAAATAGCCTACGAAGCCCAGCCCTGGCACCCTTTCATCGGCAAGCGGCAACTGGCAGAGCTGCCAGGCCTGAGCCGCTTTGCTTCAAAGCTCCGAAACATAAATCCACTCTCGAGGTGCTCAAACAGCCGAGGCTCGGTAGCCCAGCTTCGTGCACCTCGTCGCGGCCACGCTGCAACGCGGCTTCCCTAAGCCCACGCGCTCCGGGCCTGACCGTCGCAGAGCTTGCTCTGGAGCCTCAGCGCGCAAGCTCTGAGCCGCCAGGCCGCCTTCTGCGAGCAGGCGAGCAGCGGCGAGCAGGTGCCAGGTGCCCTGCCCTCTGTGTTGCTGCCTTTCGAAGGACTGCACGGCACTGCACGGCTTCGGCGCTGCGGCGCTGCATTCGGGCTCCGACCGTCGTCCTCGATGGCTCCAATGGCACGCAAACGGCGGATCGCTGCCTGGCTCCGGACTTCAACAAGAAAGCCGCTTTGAACAGGTTGGGTTGGGTCCAAGAAGCAGCAACGGCATCACTGGGTGGCGGCGTCGGCCTCGCCGGGAAAAGTCTGTGCGGTCACTCCAAAACGTTGAAGCTTTCGAGCTCTGGGTGCCAGGCCAAGGGAAGACATCCAAGCGAGGCACCCCTAGGAAAGCCAGTAGCAACCTCAGAAGCGTTTTTTTGTGTGCCTGTACGACGAGTCACGCACCTGCTTGGGCATGTCGGTCCCTTTCGTTGCACGCATCATTCTTCAACGACGGGATTGAGAGCCCGAAATCTGCTAGTTCTACATGCCTCGTTCAGTTGTGGAGGGCTGCATTTGGTACCGCTGTATAAAGCCGAAAGGCAGCAGGAACTAAGCTGCCTCTGTACTACGACTGGCTGGCTCCATGCAACAGCTCCAGAGCCGCATAGCAGACGACCATGAGACCTGCCATAAGAAACAGTGCCAGACGGAAGTTGATCTTCACACACTTGTCAAACCAAAGCCTGCCTGCATCTACCCCTGGACCCACATTGAGCTTCAGCTGCGGGATTCCTTCTTCACGCAACGTGGTCCAGCACAGCAAAACGTAGGTCTGTGCTGACACAATGGCCCAGACTTCGTGCAGTCTTAGGTGCCGTGGCTGTCTGCCTCTGCTACACCGGAGTAAGCCAAAACCCTTCCGTCGTCGTCAGTTGCATCTATGCTTGTCGACAAGCTTCCTTGAAAGCCTGAGCATGCAGCAGGCTGGTGCGCACATCCCTTACGAGTAAGATCTGTACTGGTTTAGTTTACCGCTACCCGCATCCCATGACTTGTGCAGCGGCGGAAGGGGGGACGGCTGTCAGCCGTGAGGGTGAAGCCGGAGTCGAGCTTCTTCAGATTTGCAAAGCGCCCACCGTAGACCTGACGTGAGCGGTGCAGATGGCCTACTGCTGAAGCCACCGATTCCGACACCTAACCGTGTGTTATGCCATGCCAGCTTCCACTTCCTGATGGCTCCTGGCACGGCATGGCCTTGTCGTTTACAAAGACGAAACCCGTCGCGACCGTGCGGCACGTGCAAAACCTTGCATCGTGGATCACTCGCCGGTGCAGGGAATGCGTCTTGAGACGAGTCATAAGCTCTCCCAATTTGGACAGCTGCAAGGAGCCTCACGTCCTTCATGGGGCTCGACAAAATGAGCCTGCAAACGCCCATCCAAGCTCACTGGCCAACCGCAACATATATAGTGCGTCCTAAAAAAGTGCAGGCTACAGTGGCACAAGCCAGACTGCCTTGTACCATCGCTGCTTCGGCCATCGGGAATTGTTTCCAAGAGAAAGATTGTCTCGCCCTTGACGTCCGAGACTGGAAGCGTAGATGCTCGCTTGGCCGCATGGCCACGCACGAGCGGCACCAGCAAAGTGCACTCCACCTTCTCTGGCACCACCAGCTCTGGGCAAAGAGAGATCAGTGGGCTCTGCCCCGTCTGGGAGCTCTGGAAGCTCTGTGCTTGCGGACGGAGATCGGGCGGCCCGGTCCGGGCCGGGCGGGGACCTGCTCGGGCCGCTCTTCGGGCCGCCTTCAACTCGTCGCTCGCGGTGTCCGCAGTGCTGCTAGCACGCAGGTGTGCCAGGCTGCTGGTCAGAAAGGCACCATCCTCCGTCTGCCTGGAGAGGGCGCAGAAGCTGAGCACTGCCAGGAGGATGCCAAACATCACGAGATAGGGCATGGAAGTGGCAACTTCTTCTGGTGCCACACCGATGAGGGAGATCGCAACGTGCCGGACGAAAAGAGAGCCCTCCTCCAACAGTTCCCTCACCGAGTTCTCTGGCTTTGTCGAGCTGCGGCCCCCATTCTGCTTGTCCGACCTCGACTGTGACTCTGCCCAGCTGTGAAGACTAACTTTTACCAATCGAGGCGAGCCTCGTCGGGTCGCCGGCCTTCAAGGGCACTTTCGCTTTCGCTGCCGTGTGGTTGACCTGGATGAGGCTGCGACACGGGGCACCCAGTGTCCTTGGCAAGTGCAAACACTGGCGATGCTCCGTCCCGCTTTGATTTAGCCAAGCCTCTGTGCCTCGTGTGCCTCCTCACCAGCCGCAAGGAACGCAAGTGCCAGCAGAATCGTTACTGTACCGGGCCTGGGCCGTCCCATGCTGAAATGATGCAACTGGGGGCTGCAGGAGCATTCTGTTGTCCAGGTGGCGGAGTCTGACGCATCTTGGACCAATAATACGAAATTGGTAAGGTACCTCAGCTCTCGGCAAGTTTCAGAAAAACCGTTTCATGTCGAACGCGAAGAGACGAGCGGCATTCCGTAGCCACTGCCTTCAAGGGCCGCCATGGGCTGCTGAGCCGAGAGAAGCAAAGACCGGAGAGATCGACTAAATGTGACCCAGGGCCTGCAAAAAAAAAACACCTCCCTCCAGGGCTGCCACAGAACTGGGTCCATCGGCGTATGCAACATCGGGATAGGCCTCTATGCGGCATCTACCAAGCCAGTTCGGACTTGCACCCTAGAGTCAATGGCCCCGACGCAAACTTCGTGAAGTAGTTCTCGTACGCAGCTGACGAGTAGAGGCCTTGGGACAGGCCATTCGAGGGTCGTCTACCTACCGCTTCTCCCGGCCAGGGCTGCGAGCGGTAGGTGTGGCCAGGACCGAGCCGGCCAGCCTTGCCGCGAAGCAAACAAGCCTCGACTAATGTAGGGGCTGTAATAATTCGAAAAAAGGTTTTTGGGGCATAATGTACTGCTATTATAATAAAGAACCACCAAAATAGTACTTATGGGTAATTTTATGAAGGCACCTATAATTATCCGAATCCGGAATCCCTCCACACCTCAATCCAAGGGATTCAAATTCTGCCGCAATTGGGTTCTGGTCCAGGGATATATGCATCAGCAAAAGGAGGTATTGCCTGGACTAGACGAGAAACCGACATCTAGGGATCCACCCAACCTGCAAGAGGAGGTACGATGGACGGAACAACTGTTATGTCGCGACACTTCAACCTATCGGCTACACAGGAGGCCTTCGCAACGTCGAGGAGAACGCAAGGGGGCAAGGCTAGGGAGCAGCTTATTGCAACCAGATCATGGCAACGCTTTGGTTGCCGACTAAGTGGCAACGAGTTGGTGTAACTCGACATCGAAACCGTCAGCTCGGTGCCGGCGTCCTCAGCTCTTCCTGAAGGCTGCTTGCCATGGAAAGGGGCACCGCGGCAGAGAGACGGCTCAGCAGCATGCTGTCTACTTCGATTCCCTGTTTCACCAAAGTTCGGAAGGCCACACAGGCCCAGGTGGGTTCCTTCCCTTTCTCGCAGGCCCTCAGCATGCCCGTCCAAACATACTGGTTCGGCCGCACTCCGGCCTCCTGCATGCGAGCGATAACATCCGCAGCTGCATCCACACGAGCCAACTCAGCATAGACGCGTATGAGTGCATGGTAACTGTGCTCATCAGGTTTGAGCCCTTGCTTTGAGATCCGTTGCAGCACCGCTTCAGCCGAATCCGCATCTTTTGCCTTGATACATGCCTGGAGGAGCACGTTGTAGAGAGTGACATCTGGCTGCAAACCCAAGGCCACAGCATCCTCGGCAAGGGCCATGGCTTCGGCCAATCTGCTCGAATGGCCAAGTCCCTGCAAAATGGGGGTGTAGGTCTGCACAGTGGGAGTGAGGCCTAGCTGTTCTTTGATCATCTGAAGAAAGTAAAGCGCAGCATCCACATCTCCGGACCTGGCATTGGAGTTGATGAGTGTGTTCATGGCAACGATGTCTGGCTGCACTTTGTCCATCAGCATTCTGTCGAACACTTCTCTCGCCCCTTTGGAGTCAGCTGCTCGAGCACAGGCGAGCAGCACGTTGGTGTATGCAGTCACGTCAGGGGAGATGCTTTGAGAACGCATGGTTTCCAACCAGGCCAGTGCACCCTGTACTTGCCCCTCTTCTGCACATACTTGGACGATCGGTGTGAAGGACAATGCATCAAGACGGACCTGCGACTGGCCTGCGCTGTGCAGGTGGAGTCGGGCCTTGTCCGTCTGATGGCTTCTGCAATATGCGGAGATCACGGCGTTGTGTGCAACGACATCTGGCGTGAGCCGGGCACCTTGCATGGACCCCAGCAGACGCAGGCAGTCTTCGGCAGCAGAGCGCTGAGTCGACCGTGCCACGGCGCTGATGAGGGCCGTGTACGAGGTGAGATCCGGCTCGAAGCCCTCGGCCTGGGCGCGCTCGAACCATCGCCGCGCGCCGCCGGAATCTCCCAGCCGGGCGAAGGCATCGACGACCGTGTTCACATCCACCAGATTCACTTCGCCAAACCTCTGCAGCTTCTCTTGGAAGCAATGACTGGCTAAGGCCGGAGAGCTCGCTTTGGCATAGGCATTGATGATCATGCTGAAAACGAGGGGATCACACAGGCCGAAGCGCTCCTCCAACTTCTCGAGCCAGGATTTGGCCACATCCGGCTTGCCGGCGGAGGCGGCGGCCTCGACCAACTTCCCATAAGCCTTCACGCTCGGGTCGGCACCCGCCTCCGGGTACGTGTTGAACCAGTGAACAGCACCTTCCAAGTCACCAGCATTTGCAAAGGCTCCCAGCACCGAGTTGCGGATGTACGGACGCTGCTGGAACTCTGGCGGCAGCTCTTCGAAAAGCGCCATGGCCGCTTCGGCACGCCCCTCTTTGTAGTGTTCGAAGATCAAGTCTGCTACTTGCTTCGGGGACCTGCGCGCCATGCGCATTGTGCGGCCGGTGCACCTTCGCCATGTGCTCACAATGGCCGGCCCGGCGGCAACACACAATCTTGCTGGCAGAGCGCAGGATACCCGACAAACTCGCGCGCTTTGACGACAAGGTGTCAAAGCATGGTCAGATGACCGTGTGGTGACTGCCCAACCAGGTGCCGTGTGCATGCTTTCTGCGCCTGCATGCGGCGTTCAGGACATGAACCGAACAGCTTGTAAAGCCGGATGGCGATGACTGGAAAACAACACTACCAGCTGGGCTTGCTCTGTGGATGAATAGCTGCAGGCCCCACGTTTCTGCGAAGTCTCTTGAGAAAGCATGGCAAGAAAGCCTACTGCTTGTGCTTTCATAGACATGCGGATGGCTTGTGTCAAGTCCCTGGCACGTCCGGCACGCTGATCGGCCGAAGCCTTGGAGATCCTCTGAGTTCTCAAGAAACGAAACTTCTAGTCTAGCTAATCTTCTGTTGACCGCAGCTGACTTGTGCTCCGATTGCATTTCAGGCACAGGTCCTGTCGATCACGAATGCTGATACTCCCGATGCAGCTTTGTACCTCACCAGCGCGTGCCGATCGATGGCAAGCACAACAGCTGATGTCGGCACGTGCGGCACAACATGTGGCAAAGATGAGACTGCTCGTGCATGCAGCGCGCCCCCTTGAACCAAAAGTATGCACGACTGCAACTTTTGATGCCCGAAGCCGCAGAGGCAGAGGCTCACGGCCCCAGCATGTCCGTGTAACGCTGCCGGAGCTCGCGCAAGTCCTGCAGTGCCTGTCTTGCACTTCCTTCGACGGGCTCGGACTCAGGCCGGTCGGATCGGACGGCATCAAGCTCACTCCGCAGCTCTCCGGACATCCTCCAAGCTTCAGCCAACACCTCGGCCTCGCTGGCACGAGCTTGCTGCACCCGTTGCTGGAAGTGTTGCTCTCGTTCTTCCAAGTGCCGATGCAACTCCTTGCGTGCGTTCTGTGCCGCCAGCTCGGCGCGCTGCTGTCCTGCGCTGGCCTTGGCCTCCGCTTTTCGGGCCTCCGCCGCCTGGCGCTTCCACTCCCGCGCGGCCTCGCTCTCCGTCTTCGCCGCCAGGGCGGAGTTGGAGTTCGCCAGCCGCGCCGCCCGGTCCGCGGCCTGGGCCTCGGCCTTCCAGGTGTCCGCCAAAGTCAGCTGCGCCTCTCCGATCCGCAACAAGGACTTAACTTCACACCATCCTGTGGGGCCTGCCGTGCCTATCCCTATCCGTGCCTCGCCTCGAGGTCGATGCGCCGGCGCCGCTCCGCACGCAGCTCCTGCTCCAGGATCGTCTCCCGGCCCATCACCTGATCGTGCTCTTGCTGCTCTGCGCGAAGCTGCTCGCCGAGGTCGCGGATCTCATCGCAGAGCTCCTCCTCCTTGGCCTGAAAAGCAGCCCAATCCTTCCGTCGGGCAGCATGCTGCTGCATCACCACTTCCGACCTCAAAACCGTATCTGACGGGACTTCTGAAAAGACCTGGTGAATGAATGACGCAGTAAGCTTCCGGCAGGCGGAGTGCATATCGCTGCAAGGAGCCTCCTTCCAGGTTCAGAGGGCTTCGCCCTTCCTGGGGCTCCTTCTCGAGTGGTGGCTCACTCGGCTCCATGAGTCTCCCGATCCATAGCGGCCATAGCGCCACAGCACATGCGGCCCATTGCGGGTGTGGTCACTGCATCTGCAGTCAGGATTTTCTTTAACCCGGGCTTCAATCCTGCGTCAGCTCAGAATTGGCTAGGATGGGGATGCATGTCCCTACGAAACCAACGCGGGCGAGAGCAACGTCACCAAGGTTTGCGTTCACATAATGGTTTGCACCAACTTGCTCGAACTGGCTCGCACCGCCGCCGCTTCTCCTTCCCAGTGTCCACGACATAGCGCCTGTCTTGAAAAACTTGTCTGGCAATAAAAGATTTCACTTCCAGGATCCCTGAGTGATGCACACATTCGGCAAGGTCACCTGAGTTCAAAAGATGGAACGCCCAGCAAAGTAGATTCGCTGGGCTTCGGACCGACGTTTCAGCCACGTTGGTGGCAATCACAACCTGACGCTCTCGCAACTCGGACACAGCCAGACGAGCAGCATCGGATTCCCAAGGGCACATCACTTCCACAGGGCACAGACCCCCGAAAGGCTCATGAAAAAACTGCTAAAGTCAGGATCATTCCAAGCAAGCCGGTTGACACCACAGCGGAGAAGCAACAATGTAACGCTCTGTGATTCCTGCTCTGTGATATGCCTTCTCTTGGCTCCGAGATCCTGGCCACACGTTCACCCTCCGGTGGCTCCGCGAACGGGGCCAGCTGCCTTGTTGCGGAAAGCCTCGGCGCGGCTCGGCTTTTGGGGTCAACTCAAAAAACCCCAGCTTCCTGCGCGAGGGCCGTACTAGCGGGTTCTTAGCCCCATGGGCCCATGGATTTAGCCGGTGAAGGAAGACTCCGAACTTTTTTGATTGGACTTGGGGCGCCCCAGCCCTGTCAGAACGCTTTCAGATTGACTCTGTGTCTGCGCTATATATGGCTTGGACGCGTATGAGCTCACTAACTTTGGAGCACGCCCCAATCGCCGTGTTGAAACTCAGCTCGTTGACTGGTATGCCTCTCCTGTCCATCTGATCAACCAGGTGGCTTGCCACCTCCCACTGTGCAAGCCCTTCTATGGCCGCATTGCAGCTCACGACATCAGGCTTTAAGCCTGCATCAGTCATGCTGCGAAAAATGGACAGTGCCTGATGCCAGCTGCCCAATTTTTGGCAGCCAGCCATGATCGCACTGAAGCTAAAGGCATTCGGCTGCACGCGCAGCTCGCTCATTGCTCCAAGAAGCAGCACAGAAATTTCCCAGCGGCTTGCTTTGGCACATGCACTCATGGCGCTGCTCATCGCCACCACATTCGGAGCCAGATGCATCTCGTGAAGGTGGCTGCAGAGATGTAGCGCCAGCTGCCACTCCCCAGCCTTCTCGCAGGCATCAACGGCACAGCTCCAGCTGAAGATGTCCATCTCCAGTGACAGACTGGCCATCTCCTCGAGAAATGCCAAAGCAAGACGCCACCGCCCTGCAGAAGCGCATGCGCTCACAAGGGCATTGCAAACCAGAGTGTTCAGGGGCTGCCTCTGGGCCACCATGGTCGACAGGAGGTCCTAGGATAGGAATTTTTGTGGCCGACTTAAACACTCAAAAGGACTGAAGACGCTGGAAATGATTTGTTGCAATGCAAGATCAGGCAAGGAACAACTGCCAGTGTCCACTTGCAACCCTGCTCCAAGGCACCGAGTGATCCGACGTTTGTCACCGAGTCCGGGTCAATTCCGCTCTCCTGCAGACTGCTCACCAAGTCTGAGGTACGGAGCCACTGGCCGCATCGAACACAGGCATTGATGGCGCTGTTCCAGCTGACGATGTCCTCGGTAGACCCCTCCATATAAGTGTTGGATCATCGGGAATGACCACATAACGAAGTGGATGGTTGCACCTTGCCGAGGGAAAACATGCCTCCGCAAATTTCTAGAGGCTTCCGAGGCACGAGGTCCAGCTGGCCGCCCATGACCTTCGGCTTGCTTAAGGACTGCAGGAGCTGGTGTCCCACTCACTCAAGGTCACTAGCCAAACAATTCCGAAAGCTTTTAATCGCCTGACCTTCGCGGATTCCAAGGAGATCTGCCAGCAAGCATCGTCAGAGCACGTCTTCAAAACAGAGTTGAAACTGAAGACATCTGGCCGCGTCTTCCGTTCGACCATCCTTCCCAGCAGACTGAAGCCCGCCTGCCACCGTGCGCCCAGAGAGGCGATCACCGAGTTCCAGGTAACGGCGTCCGGACACGCCTCGCTGTCGTGAATGGAGCTCAACATCCCAAGGCTCATCATCCAGTAGCTCTGGCTGCTTGCGGCATGGATGGCTGCGTTGTAATGAATGATGTTGGGGCCCAGATGATGTCTTCGAAGGACCTGAAGCACCCGCCAAGCGCTGTTTCGGAAGCCCTGCTTCGCCAGGCTTCCGAAAGCCCGGGTTATGAGATGCGGCTTCCATCGCCATTCCTCCAAAACCTTGCAAGTGTGCGAACGGCTTGGCTTTCCTGAATAAAGATTGCTTAAGGCTTGCACGAAGCTGCGATTTGGCCACACTAAGACGAGTCACTGGCTGGAGTGCGTCCTCAACAGCCTGCAGAGTTGCATAGGGCCCGCGTCGAAGAACTGCCGCCACCTCCGGTGGCTGCCCGCTGCGTGCCTTGAGGCTGGGGAATGCCAGCGGCGCCTTCCCTGGTTCTCCATCCATGCAGCATGCTGTGTCCAGCCTACTGCCTGCGATAATGTGGTCCTGGCTGGGGCTTGCACACTGGATGGCACCTTACGGTCCTGGCCTCTGTAGATAGACCTAGGCGCTATGCCTCTACATGACCTCCAGCTTTGCTAGCTCTAAGCTTGAACCAAAGACCCGAATGGCGAAGTCTTTCGCTGCACATGCGGCCTGTGAACCCGAAACCGTTTCGCCTTTTCAAGGTCGCCCTTGCAATAAGCTTGCAAGTTTCAATCCCTTCTGGGCTGAGCTCTGCCAAGAGCAACTGCACCTGCAAGCTCCTCCCGGCATAGTCACATGCACGCAGGAGCGAGCTGACCGTCAAGGTGTCTAGCCGCAGGCCCGTCGTTGACAATCGAAGCACGTGCGCCCACGAGCACGCATTTTCGCAGGCAGCGATCACCGTGTTCCGCAGTGTCACGTCGGTCTCCTGGGACCCGAGCTGCAGCCGATGAAACATCAATAGCGCCCATGGCCAAATGGAATCTCTGACACCCGCACCTATCGCCGTGCTGGTCATTGCGACATCAGCTTCAACTGAACTCCGCCTGCTGTTTGCCAGGACTGCCCAGGATTGCTGCCATGAGGAATGAACCATCATTGCAGAGTTCAGGATGATGGCATCCAAGCGCAAAGCCAATGAGGCCTCCAGTGTCAATGCCACGGCAGCTTGCCAAGCTCCTGTACAAGCATCCACGGCCATGCTGAAGAGCACAATGTTGGGGCGCATGCCTTCCAAGGCTGCCTGCCGCAGGAGCAGTAAGGGATGTTCCCACTGCGTAGCGCGAGCACATGCACCAGCAACGGCACTGACCGTAATGATGTCATGGCGAGCCCCACATGTGGACAACTCGGACAGCAACCGCAAACCCCGCTGCCAGAGCCTGCTCTTCTCGTGGATGGTCATTAGCACATTGCATGTGATAAGGTCGCGCTGACAAGCTGTTGACATCTCGGCACACAAGGCAACAGCACGAGACCACGGGGCGGTGGCCGTGCATGAACTTAAGAGCGAATTGCAAGAAATGGTGTCGAGCTCTGTTCCAAGAGTGACGGCCGCACGACATACTATTGATGCTGTCTTCCAATGACCGGCGCGGTCGCAGCTACTTATCGCGGCATTGGTTGAGATGACATTTGGTCTGACAGTCTGCTCGCGCATGTTGTTCAAGCCAAAGACTGCTTTCAGCCACGTTCGGTCACTGGCAACGGAACTGATGACGGAACTGCAAGCAACGGAATCCACCCGGAGCTTTCTTGTACATGCCTCCTCCATGATCCGCAGTCCCTGCTCCCACCTGGCGCCCCTTTCACAGGCAGTCACCACCGTGCTGTGAAGGATTATGTCTGTTTGTAGGCCAAGTCGTTGCCAGTGTCTTACGACGGCCACCGCGGCCGTCCATCGCGATCTGCAGGAGCTTATCACAGTCGAGGCTCCCTTTAGGTCGGGCTCGCATGCAAGGCTAAGTACTCGGCTGCAAGCTGCCAGCGCACGTAGCCAGGCACTGGCCACATATCCCGACGAGTTTTGGAAACTTCTGCGAGCTCGGCCGGCCAAGTCGCGGCGAGCTGCCTGCTCAGTTCCTGCTGCGTACTTGTATAGTTCCTGTACCCTTGGCAATTGAGCCTTGCAAGCCTTGGACCTGTCGCCCTGCAAGCTCATGTCGAACCATGGCGGCTGTCATAGCACCTGCCATCCCGACGGAAAAAGGAAGTGCGCGCAGCTTCACACTGAATCTCTGGATTTCTTTGCTTTCTTGGGACTGGTGGCTGCAGCAGGCATGCGAAGCGTCAGCACAGCAACAAATGTGATCTTGCAAAAAAGCCTGTGCTGCACTGCAGCTATGCTTTATCATGTTTCGTCTTGCTGCTCGTCGCACTGTTGCATGATGCGGAGCCTGCAAGGGCAGCATACAGACGATGTCCTCCCGCAGAATTCTACCACCAATCGCAACTGCCCAGAGTTGCGCATGTCAAGCCGTCTTCAGGCTTGAACATCGCACTCACGTAATGCCGGTGGAAAAGCATGTTCTGGGCCCACCAGTGCCCTCACTGCAACGCTCCCTGCTCCACGGATTGCAGCGAGCCGGACTTCAGCGGCGACTCGCGCTTTGGAGGCGGAAGAACTCCTGTCTTTGAGAAAAAGACAAACAGCGTTTTTCGAACACTGCCGGGACATTGCATCCAGGTTACGAAGGGATCTTGGGAATGGAGGCGCATCGGCATGTCGGGAAGCTCACTTGGTCGAAGAGGCTCCGAAGTTCGCCGGTGCATCAAATCTGGGGGCATGCGAACCACGTCGACTTAGAGTGAGTAAGTCTTCGCGATCGACTGGTCGCACGTAAAGCAGGAGGCGGGACCATCGTTAGGAAGCATGCCTGCAATGTGAAGGACTTCCATCTACACGCCTTCTGCCGCTGACTCAACGAAGAGCCGGCACGCTTCCCGCAGCTGCGGCAAAGCATCGAGGGACATCTTCAGATCATGTGGAATCGGCAAAATTACTTTGCACTCTCTGCCACCAGAGTTCAGGAATGTTAGGCGGTATCGATGGAGCCAGTTGCGAGGGCTGAAGCTGAGGTCCGCTTCAAAAGTGCTCAGACTGGTGTACAGGGCGTCCTTGGTAGATCTTGACTAGAGTGACTGGATCATGGCCCGGACTGCCGTAACGATACATGTTGCCAACACCGGATGTGTACAGCTTGTAAAACTTCAGCAGAGGAGCGCAAACGGTCGGCAGCCCGACATGCGCAAGGTGGCAGCGGATCTGGTGCTGCCGTCCAGTGACTATGCGTAGCTTCAGGAGGCTGGTGGCACCTCGAAACGCGAGCTGGAAAAGCTCGGCGCCACTCTTGGAGGGGTGCAGGCAATTTCAGACACCATGGGTCAGCAACTACAGGCTGGTTTCAGAAACCAGGACAGGCGATTTCCGAAACCACCAAACGCCGATTCAGAAATCATGGTGTAGGTTGGGGTCTGGGCGCCTCCCGGAACCCTACCCCAAGCACCGGCCCAAACCCACAAGCCTACTTTTGACTCTTCATGACTGCGCGCATCGTCGCTGGGGAGACGACAAAGATCAGATTTAGGGTCGATGGAACGATTTGGCTCGCAAGATAACTATCTCCTCAATCTCAATAAATACGCGATAAGCCGAACCCTATCTCAAGCACTAGCCTTTTTACTACACCCTGAGCCCTGCTCCTACAGCTAGGGTTTTGTGTCAGGGTTCAGGGCGGTTATGACACGGGTTGGGTTTGATTAGGTCAGGATAGGTCAGGTTAGGTGACATACAGTTAGATCAGGTTAGGTTAGGGTTGGGTTGGGTTTAGGATAGACCAGTTAGGTTGGGTTTACTGGGTCAGACCCTGTCCCAAGCACTAGCCTAGAACCTAAACCCTGGGCCCTGTTCATGAGCAGAAACATAGGATATCATGAGCATCGTGCAATCAAGAGCATCGTAAGGGCGGGAAATCATTAAATTTGTAAAGTTTGGGCACAGGGCCTTAGATTTAGGGATCATGTTTGAGCCGACATATGATTTCCCAGGTGCCCGCATGGTTGGTGAATCGGCGCTTGCTGGTTTCTGAATCGCTGTTGCTGGTTTCCGAACCATGGTTGCTGCTTTTCGGGCATGATTGCTGAAAGGGGCAGCTCCCCTCTTGGAGAGACGACCGAGGCCGACGCCTATCTGCGCCGTCGCAGATCCGAGTCGCCAAAGCTGCGTGGCACTGGGCCGACCACGACCCCCACAACGGCTGCGCACGTCCCAAGCGCTCCGCCGCACCGACGCCGTGATGGCCCGCCATGAACATGGTGCCCGACCCCGCGAGAGGACAAGGTAATCCCGGACGAGCTGGCCAGCAGACAGCTGTACCTGAGTGAGGCAACTTCCATTTCCTCGGCCCATTTGCAAAGAATCAGGATCACACAGCTCGCCTGGAGGTCGCAGTAGGCCCGATGAGACTTGGCTACGAGCAGAAGGCCCTCAGTTCTGCAGAGAAGTGCCAAAGTCTCCCTTGTAGTCTTTTGAGCCGAGGCTCCGAGTTCGGAACATCCAAGCGATGAAGGAACCCGTAGTTGCAAGAGGGATCCCTCAGAATGCTCGCCTCCCACGTCTCCTGCGGAGACGAACTCTCCCGAGCAGATGTTACAACTCCAGATGCTTAAGCTCGCAACTCACTGATGCAAAGCTCCGGCCTGCGCAAAGACTCTCAACTGCCGCTTCTGAAGGTTTCCATCGTACACCTGCCAGGACATTTCTGCAGCGGTGCCTTTGCATTCCCTTTCGCGACAGGGCACCTCCCAGCCCGGAGGCTTGAAGAGCACCGCCCGGTCTGTCATCTCCATCACTACCTGAAAGCTCTCCCGCGGCATCAGGCTGTACACATCATGCAACGCGGGCGGACAGTCTTGGTTGCCCAGGTGCACACGGACCCCTTGAATGCATGCCCCTGCTGTCTTTCACGCTGGATAACGAAGTGCCACCAACTTCTTCCACGCAGCCTCGCAACTGCCTCTCCACAGCCTGCGCATGCTGCAGAATTACGGATGGAGTCCACACACATGCGTCGCATCTTGTTCCGCTGTGCCTATTGGCAGCCTATCGTCGTCAGTCGTAGCCTAGTCTGCATAACGCATGGACCCGGTCATTATTGACTGATGTTGTTCTGCGACCGGATGCCTGCAGGAAGCCAGCACGCACGCAGCCAGCGAACTTGCAGGCCGCAATGATGCCCAGGACGTCGGGAGTTGGCATGGGAAGTCCCAGCTGGAGCCGGTGAGTCGCCTCCTCTTGGATCTGCAGCAGAAGACCTCCGCTTGGGCTCGAGGCCCTTGAAGCCCCCAAAACCCGAGAGGCCCCAAACCGGCCCTAGACCTGTGAAGGCCTGCAGAGCCGAAGGCGGAGCCAGAGGCGCCCCAGGCTGTGGCAAGCAGACCCTCGGGCCGCGTCCCACCCAGCACCAAACAAAAAGTCTCTTTTTTGTGGCCCGTGCCATGGCCTCCGAAGACATCCGCGGCAGCTCCCGAAGGCTCGAGGCCTCGTCAGGTCTCGCATCAAGAGAGCAGGAAACACTGGCCATGCAAACTGCAGCCGAGGTGCTATCAGTGCACCAGGGTGTGCTGCGGCGGCACCAAGCATAGCACACGACCACCAAAAAGAGGACACGTCCTGGCAGAACATGTCAACAAAGGCCCAAGGGCTTTGCTATCACACATCGCACGTCATCGCACGCACGCCCACTGCCTGTGGAGTTGTTTGCTCCAGCGCGCCAAGCGCGTGCACCAGGCCAGAATGGATCGCAACGGGATCCTCCACCAACTGCTTGGCCATGGTGCCAATTGCCGGGAACACCCCTTCAGCTTGCGCCATCTCGCTGCACTCCCTGGCCACTCGGAGCACATCGGCCCATGGCTGGGTCTTCCTCCAGAGAGGGCCAGACGCAAGAGCGAAGGCCATCAGGCAACGAAACTTGCAAAGAAGATGACAGAAAGATGAGACTTGATGAGAAAATAGCGAAGCGATCTTGACCAAGCCACTGCAGGATGTCCCGCTTGTTCTGCCAACTGATAGCATCGGGCTGCACCTCGTGTTCAAGCATCATTGCCACAAGATGGGGTAATTCAAAGTGTTCCAACAACGATACCAATTGCACACAAGACACCGATGTGGCTTCCATCGTGTCAAAAACGTACAAAGACAAAGGCCACTCTTCGGCTTTTGAAAAGGACTTCATCAGGATGCTGTGTGTTGCCACATCTCGGGGGACCAGCTGCTGCTGCTGCAACGTTACACGCCAGTGTTCGGCTGGCAGAGCACCCAGCGCAGAAGAAGACTGCCGGCGAGACCAAAGCAAAACTTGAAAGGAAAGAGGCCACATGCTGCCAGAGCTGAACGCCGTGATCAGCATGCTCCCCGTTATGATGTCACGACGAACGGATTGGGTGCACATCTGCCGCAGCAGCTGACAAGAAGCTCGCCAAGAGCCCGAGACAGCAACCAGTGCTGCATTGAAGGCGATGACGTCTGGAGTGAAACGTTGTGACAACCTTCGAATCAGGTCCACCGCAAAGGGCCAAGCCCTCCAAGGACATGCACGCAGGGCAGCGGTGTAGCAAAAGAGGTCAGGCAACACCTCGGCAGCAGTTGCAACAGGGCTCACAACGCTTTGGACGGTCATGACGACAACTCCGGTCCCCACCTGTTCTCTGCGCATGTCGACCAGCACGTCCACCGCAGCTTCCCACTGGCTCTGCTGCGCACAAGCTTTGATGGCACTCGTGCAGCCTGAAGTAGCCCCCCTTGAAGGACCAGTCTCATGCTGTCAGACACCGTCTCGCTACCTAGCAGACCTAGCATTTGTAACTGCCTCCGAGATACACAACAGATCTGGCGCAACGGCCACATCCCGCCTCAAGCAGGTCTCTACAGAAGTGATGCCGTCTTGTGCCGCACGTGTGCAGCTTAGTGCAGCATGCAGCAGAAGCGCATCCGCTGTAGGGTGTCTACAGCCAACTCCCAATGGCCGCCTGATGCTGTGATCCGTACACCATAATAGCACGGGAAGGCTCGTAACCTGTCACCTGCCTGCAGACTGGGCATCCATCATGAGGCCGTAGGAAACCACATCGGGCGATGTCCGGGTGGTAGATAGCAGCGCGAAGACACACAATGCCAACTGCCATTGTCCACTCCTTTCTGAGCTCGAAACAAAGTTTTCTCAACCCTCTGATAGCTCCACTCCCCACAAGAAACGGTCACAACTCGTTCCTCTGGCAGGCTCTGGCAACGCTGTTGAAACCAACAGCGCCACATTTGGAGGTGGCTAGGAGTGCTGCCAGTGCCCGCTGCCAAGAAACAGCCGCAGCAAAAGCTCCCAGGAGTTCATTGAAGCTGATCTTGTCTGGCCTCGCGTCACAAAGGAAAAAAAGAACCTCGCAAGGGCGGACCAGAACTCGCAACTCTTTTGGAGCAGAGCTTTGCAAGCGGGAAGCTGGATTGTTGTCCAAGTCATTTGTTGCAGCAAACTTACGGCCATCTGCCAGCTGCCGTTGCGACGGCATGTTTGCAACACTGTGTTGTAGTGAATGGCGTTGACTTCCACCGACTGCTGCCTGGAAGCTGACTGCTTTTTGCCAAAGGGTGTCACTGCGAACCGCAACAAGCCAAGCAGCAAGAGCGAGTACAACACAGCAGCCTGAAGGTCACAAGCTACCTGCAGACGTCACGAAGGTCACGTTGCACACGTCTCACTCTGGCACTGGGGTACTGGGGCTCTCCAGCTTGAAGCTCCAGCCTGGCCCCCTCGCTGCAGGGTCCGCAGTGCAGTGGTGCAAAGTCGCGGTATGCGCCAGACTGCCAAGCCTTCTGCAGCAAACGGTTTCCGGTAGCGAGCTTTGTTACTTAGTACATGCCGCAGCGCGGACGAGCGGCTGTCAGCCACGATGGCCTCCACCCTCTGTAACTCTCCGGATCCCAGCTCCAAGAGGCGTCGAGTTGCGGACGACGCACTCGCTGCCGGCCCGCGTGCCGGCCCGCACATCCCTCATCTCCCATCCCTCTTCACCAGTTCGTCGGCGCACTGTGCAGCACAGGATCACATGGCTCTCTCAGGAGCTCTGCTAGGGGGCCTGATTAATTAGCAGGCCCTGCTTTCTCCGCCGAAATTATCGCGACATTACTGGATTGCTGGGAGGCCCACCCCGCTTCGTCAGACAACTGTCGGTGATCGCTCGGACAACATTTCCTAATATCTGTGGGCTGTGATCTCAGCGAGCAGATCCGAATCTTTATGGAAGCCAGGGAGCATGCAGGAATGTGGAAGTGGCTTGGGACAGTTCGGCCGTTCCCTTGAGTCTCCAAGGGCGGTGCTGCGCGTACAGGGGCAGCACACGCAGGGGCCTTGGCGTTCGTGGCTGGGAGGAGGTGATGAAGCAAGGGCAACAGCATGCAACATGTCACAACCATACTTCGTGCGATCAATCCCGGGGTCGCGCCCTTCTCCAAATCCAGCACCTTTGAAGACACCCCCGGCCGTTCTGGATTTGTCGAGCCTCACAAAGTCAAGCTCGGTGCCACGTCCCAAAGCTCGAGCTCGTCCCGTCTTTTCTAAGCGTCGCCTGGCCTGGTCATCCGCACCTTCCGCTGGTTCCGCAGCTCGCGGTCCTTGGCATCCTCAGCCTGGGCCTGATCAAAACGGGGTCCTACGTGGGGTTTAGGACTAGGAGCCTTTTTCCTAAACCCCTCTCGCCTCCGCCTCAAGAAGCACCGTGTCTTCCTCCCCCAAAGCGAAGGAGAGCTCCGGCATCTGCAGGCAGGGTCAGGCGCAGACATGCCTAAGGTCTTAAGCCGATTCAATGCCTCCTCTTGAGCTGCCTCTGTCTCCTCACCCTGGCCCTGCCCTCCTTGCCCCTCCTGCAAGCGCACACTCGCATACGCACGCACAGCAAGCACAGGCTGCTTGGCCCTAAGCCCCCAGAGGCCCCCAGGGCCTCCTTCGAATTCGCGTCTCCGACAGCCTGGCGGGTCGTTTTCCTATGAAAGCAGATCCCGCAGCTTCCGGTGCACCTCCGTAATCTTCTTGGCCTTTCTCCGGCGCTTCTTCGCTGTCAGCGCGCCTGCAGGTCCGAAGCGCTGGAGATGCAAAAAATGGCATAGACGCCGTGGAACGATTTGCTGCTGCCTGGCCTCCTTGTTCGGCGTCTCTCGCGCTGTCCTTCGGAAGGGACCTGGAGACACACTGGCTAAAGCGTCTCCTCCCGTGACATCCTCCGACTGGGCCCCCAGCTCCGGTGCCTTTCGCTTTTTGCCTTTGGCCTTCTTTGGGCTCCTGGACCACACGCCACACCAAGCCAGGACATACCAAGACATCCCGACCTGGCCAGCTTCGCATCGGCGGCCTGCTTCAGGAATAGAGGGGCCTAGGCCTAGCCCATGAGATGTTCCACTATGCCCGATGCCTTGCTGCCGTCGCCCTGCCTGAGCGAGCGATCGATCCCTCCTCCCCACCATGGCCTTCTGAGATCCCCCCTTTTTGAGGCCCTGTCTACAAAACAGTTCATTCAGTATCTTCCTTTCTGAGAAAGCACTAGAGACGGATTCAAGTACAGCTCACTTCATGTTCTGACCAGGAGATTACGAGGACCATAGTTCCACATAGGCTATACCCTCAACCAACAACAGCCAGCTTCAACACTTGGACACGTTTAGCTGTTTGTGTTGAGGCGATCACACACAGCTCTCCCTGCCAGCAAGCTAGAGAATATCTGCGGCGCTAAGACGATCTTATCCTGCTTTTTCTGCCACCTTGAAGACCTGCCTGAACCTCTGAAAGCTCCCCGTTGCTCGCTGTGTGCATCGAGGGGCATCGAATCGCGCGGTTCTTCCGGTGGCTTTTGCAGCTCTCCAGGCTCAGCGTCGCTTTCCGCATTGCCCTCGTCATCGGAGGCCTCCAACTCGAGGGGTCGCTCCTGCGAAGGGAAGAATGCAACACCACAGTGGTCACCACAGACCGTCACAGACTCCAGAACCGTTCAAAACTACCTGCCTTCTCCTCGGCCTCCTCCTCCGCCTCGCCCTCGGCTCCGTCCTCTGGGGGGCAGTCCCTACATCTGTAAAAAAAGGTTGGAGCGGTGGACTCGGGGCCACACCCCATGCTTCGACGCCCTCATCTGCCACTGCTGCAGCATCCTCACATCCAATTTCATGACTGCATTATGGGGTAGAGTAGTGGATTATTCTGCAAGGGCTGTAGTAAGCAAGGATCCTGCAGAGTCGGTGCACCTCCTGCCGGCCAGTTACGAAAACCTCGGCCACCGACCAAGAGCTGCCAACAGAAAACTCTGGAGCGCAGTCTTTCAAGGCCCAGGCGAGGATGCTCCCTGGTGGCAGATCCTTGTGAATCTGGAGCACCTCGGCTCAATGCAAACCGCGAACAAACGCAGCCGGTCTCTGCTGTGCTTGCCATGCTTTCCCTGCTCCACCCTGGGCGCACTACCGACCTGTACGCGGCCTGCACGAGAAACTGAACAGCTCCAGAACAATGCGGTCTGCTCAAATCTTCAGGTACCCAAACCATGCAGCACATTCCCAGCTTCGGCACTGGTTCACCGGCATCCCCTTGGGGGAGATCTTGGCATGGTATTGTATTGCCCCTAGAGGCAACTTGTCGACAGGCTGCCTGTGCAAGCAATTACTGACTGATTAACGTATTGGCCAAGAAGCTGTCTTGCCACGCATCTACAGCTGATCGAGAAAAATGAAACGCAGGCCGGAGTCTACAACAAGTTACATTCACGTCGAACAAGCCATGTGTAGTCCTACACGTGCGAGGGCTTCAAACCCGTCAGGATGCATACTCACAGCCCAGCTCTGACACCAAAAGCTGCTAACCGTGCTACCGGTTGCTAACGTGCATCCAGAGACATGGTCAGGGTCGCCGCACGAAAAATTGCAGTCAAAGCGATCCGAAGCTTGGTCAGATATTGGCCGAGTCTTGTCTCGATCGGGTTTCCGTGCTGGGCTTGGCAAGCAACAGCCAAATTGAACTTCAAATTCCATTAAGTACCCGAGCTGTGCAGCGCATTCCCAGCTTCGGCACTGGTTCACCGACATCCCCTTGGGGGAGATCTTGGCATGGTATTGCCCTAGATTCGTGAGGCAGTTAGTGGAGATTCGGGAGGCTCTTTGCGCAAGCAACTGCCTCGTGCAAAATGCGTCGGCCAAGCTGTAGAGTTGCTCCTCAGATTCCACAGGCCCTGCCCTAAACCCCAAATCCTGCAGCACGGGCTCAGAGCAACCAGAACTTTTTACCTAAATCAGCTTTGAGGTCGCGAAACTGCTTCTCAGTTTCGACCATGTTAGGGCATGTCTTTTTCTTGACCCCCCATATCATATCCCTTCTTTGACCCCCGATCGTTTTGTTGACCCCTGAACATCTACATTCTGACCCGTAACCACTTCTTCTTGACCCCCGCATCTTTGGTTTGACCCCCGCTGTCTTGATTTCGACCCTCGGACGTGCTCGCATGATTCGCACAGGCTTTATCGGACGAGTTCGCATGATTCGCACAGGTTCGCATGCTGGGATGTCCCTATATAATTCTTCCAGGCATTCGCATGTGTTCGCTTCATTCGCACAGGCTCGCATGCAGGGATGTTCCTTCTTGTTCTGCATCTCTCTAGTTCCTTTCGAGCAGTTTGCTCCTTGTCTTCCAAATTTTTTCTAGTGTCCTTCGAAATTCTCTAGTCTCTTTCGAGCGGTTTGCTCCTTCTTCTGAAATTCTCTAATTCCGTTCGAGTTCCTTTCGAGCGGTTTACTCCTTGTTTCCAAATTCTCTAGTCTCTTTCGAGCGGTTTGCTCCTTGTTCCGACATTCTCTAGTTCTTTTCGAGCAGTTTGATCCTTGTTTTCAACTTCTCTAGTCTCTGTCGAAATTCCCTTGCCCCGTCATCAATTGTCTAGTTCCTTTCGAAAGGTTTGCTCCATCTTCTGAAATTTTGTAATTCCTTTCCAGCTGTTTGCTCCTTGATTTCAAACTCTGTAGTGTTTTTCGATATAATCTATCTATAGTCTCTTTCGAGTGGCTTTCTCTTTGCTTTCAGTTTCTCTTGTTTTGTAAATTCTCTAGTCTCTTCTGAGCGGTTTGCTCCTTGTTCTGAAATTCTCTAGTTCCTTTCGAGAGGTTTGATCGTTGTTTTCAACTTCTCTAGTCTCTCGAAATTCTCTACCCGTTTTCGAATGGTTTGCTCCTTATTGTCGCGAAGTCTAAGTCCCCTTTGGAGCGGCTTGTTCCTTCAAGCTTCAAATTCGCTAGTCTCTTTCGAACGGTTTGTTCTTCTTCTGAAATTATCTAGACTGTTTTTCGAGCCGCTTGCTCCTTGTTTTCAGACTCTCGAGTCTCCTTCGAAATTATCTAGTTCCTTTCGCTTTCGTCGCTTTCGAGCGGTCTGCTCCTTGTTCTGAAATTCCCTAGTTGTTTTGGAGCGGTTTGCGCCTTGCTTTCATCTTCTCTAGTCTATGTCGAAGTTCTCTAGTCTCTTTCGAGCGGTTTGCTCCTTGTTGTCAACTTTTCTAGTCCCTGTCGAGGTTCCCTACCCTCTTTCGAGCGGCGTGCTCCTGCTTCTGAAAGTTTCTAGTTCCTTTCGTTCGGTTTGACCCTTGTTCTCTAGTTCCTTCCGAGCTGTTTGCTCCTTGCTTTCAAATTCTCTAGTCTCTTTCGAAATTCTCTAGACTCTGGTCTCTTTCGAGCGGCTTGTTTCTTCTTCTGAAATCCTCTAGTTCCTTTCGAGCGGTGTGATCCTTCTTTTCAAACCTTTCCAAATTCTCTAGTCCTTGTTATGAAATTCTCTAGCTCCTTTCGAGCGGCTTGAAGGACTTCGAAGCTGTCAGCGGTTTGTTCCAGAACAGCGACAGTTCACCCCAGCAGTTGCTCTTCGATTATTACTTGTTCCACCATCCCAGCCAACCCGGTGATATGGGCAGCCTCGTGCTGCAGTTTCAGGATGGCGCCACTTTTGCTTGGATGGATCTGTGGTCCGCAAGCACGGTGGAAGGCGTAGAATGGTGGGTACCGGCAGCTGTCGACTTACCTGCCCATGCCGTCCGGGTGCGCTTCATCGGTACCACTGGCAGAACCCCTTTTACCAGCATCGGCGTGGATGCCTTGCGCGTCAACGCGCTCGCACCCACTTCTTCCACAACCACCGCGACGACCACAACCACCGCGACGGAGCTGCAAAGCTACGAGGTTGTGGCTTGCGACTTCGAGACTGACAGCTGTAGCTGGGCCTGCACAAGCAAAGAGGAATTTATCCGATTGATTGGCCACTACGACGGCCTTTGCGTAGATTATGACACCAATCAGTGGCAGAATGCGTCCATGCGCCAGTGCTACCGGGGCAACAACCAGATCTGGTACAAGCAGGATGGCAACATCAAGTCATCCTACGATGGAAATTGCCTGGGCTTTGACATCCACACAGGTATGCTCCAGGTGTCGACCTGTGATAACGGGACACACCAGAGGTGGTATTGGGACGATTGGCATCGGCTCCGCAGCCCGTACAACAACTCCTGCATGCATCATGAACCACAGAGCGACAGCCTTGTCATGGAAGCTTGCAGCGATCTCAGCAACCAGAAGTTTGACGCTTCCCTGGTGTCATCCGAGCCGCCATGGTCGGAAACAGAGACGTGGAAGTTGGCATTGAAGGTGGGCAAGACGCCGACATTAGGATACTCTTCCCCGCTTTGGACCAACAGCGAGCTCCTGAACCATGTGTCGCCAACGGCAGCTGAGGAGGATGCCAAGTACGATGCATTCAACACGGTACCCTTTCACAAGATCCGCATGTGTGTTGGAAGCCCGCAGTCAAACTGCATGGAGCACGTCTTCACGAGGACTTACGAGAATGCCAAAGCACTTTTCAGCTCTGGGTATATTCGAGACAGCACCGTGAGACAGGATGATCTTTTGAGCGTGTTCGGGCCTGAACCTGGATCCTACCAGAACTGCCCAATGCAGAGGCCCGGCTTCAACATCGAATGCAATGACGGCAACAAAAGCCCGCTGGGGCTTCTGCCTGAACTGTGCCGCCCAGGAATGCCAGAACAGTGATAGTAATGATGCGGATGCAGCCATCGGCATTGGACTTACTGGGCAAGACACTGCCACGGAAGTGGGAGCAGGTTGGACTGCCTATTTCGCCAGCGGTGGAGGCACATGCGATCCCAGCAGCACAACGTTCAAAGCTGTGTGGCTCTGGGTCGCCATGGAACCGCCAAACCCAGGCCGACGTCCCCAACAGCCTGGACTCAGGGGATTGCGCTTGGATGCCAATGGCCGGCCCAACACCTTCGGCGAACACTGGGCCGTCAGCAGCATTTTCTGGCTCCCAGTACCTGTATCTGGAGGCGACCGGCAGCAGACCTGGAAAGGAGTTCGTGCTGGAGAGCCCGATGTTTGCAAAGGGCATTGGTGAGGCAAGGTTTGTGCATTTTCGCTACCACATGTATGGGCGTGCTATGGGCAGCCTGCATCTGCAGTCCTATGGGGAGGTTGTGATTGAAGGCCGTCAGGCTCAAAAACCACTGCCCCTCTGATGCCAGACGCGGCCCAGTTCTGAGAAAATACGGCACGCCCCGTCGCTCCCAGGCGCTGTGAGTCACCCACAAGCACTTGTCAAATTCAAAGCCGCAGGTGAGAGCGTCGGCTGTGCTCGAACTCTGTGGTGGCGGGGGTGGGGGTGGGGGACTGGGGGGGCCGAAGCCGAAGCATTGCACCGGCACGACCAGCAAAAGAATCCGCAAGGCTGCCAACAGAGTCCCACAGCAGGTGCTGCACACATGGAAGTTGTTCGCGGCCATGGCTGCAGTCTAACACAGTTCCGGTGCTCACGTAAGCTACTTGGTTCGTATCTCGGAATCTTGACTACACCGTGAAAGCAGAGGCAAAGAGGGTCTTACCAGGCATGGACCATCCCTGTGGAAGTCGTCACGAGCACAAAATTTCATCCGTAGCCATTCACGTCTTGACTGCGCCGACCTCTCAACCCCAAATCTTGGTTTGCAACTCGCTCTCCCTCTCTCCCTGTCTTCCTCCTCTTGCTTGCGAACACAGAAGTAGAGAGGAAGCGCTCTCTGCTGGATGTGGAAGCACCATGATCCACCTTGATGTAGTCATCATCAGTTCTCCGCGCAAAATGGACAGTGACCTGACTGCTTTCACTTGGCTTCATGGAATGATGATGCTTGCATGGTCGCAGCAGAACACAGAAACCCCATTTGATGCACAAGGAACCGGAAATGTGCGAGCATCAATACGCAGCACCGGAGGAGGTACTGGAAAAAGCCTTGATTCAATCAGTCATCTAAGTCCCTGGATGGAATGAAAACTGTACGCAGCCTGAGGGTGAGACTGCTGGTTTTCAGTGAAATCGCAAAGTCGCAAGGTTGCAGACATGATCACCTTCGGCAGAAGCTTCCCGGTGCGGAAGCTCCGGATCCCAAGCCCTCAGAGCCGGGAGCCCAGCTAGCTTCAACGGAGGGGCTGGGAGCTGCGACTCGTCGGTCCGTGGACACATATGCTGCGTGCTGCCTGCCAATTAACATCACTCCACCGAATGTTTCCTATTCTACTCTTGCGCCTGTCGCGCCTTTGGCCGCGTTCCTTCGGTTGGCTGCCACTGCCTCCAAGCGCTATACAGGAGAACTGAAGCCAAAAGTTCTTGTAGTGCGTGCGTTGATTTCCAGCACCTCCTCGTAGTCCTTTCGCCGGCGCTGCACCGCACGCGACAACAGGCCGATAAGGATGTCGCAGTTCACCTGGCATGGGCAATGGCACGCCAATCAAGACAACTATCCGCTCATGGCCGTGGAACTTCGGACAACTCTGCCAGAGAAGCTCCTCTCTCGTGCGCCTGCCGAAACCGGATCGCAGGGGAGCAATGCCAATGAGCTTGTACCAACGCATAACATGTGCAAGAACTAACAACTGGGTAGATAGATAGACAGATAGATACTGTACGTAGGTAGGTAGGTAGGTAG